TCGTATAGAATAATAATTACTCCGACGGAAGAACCCCACATAAGAATCCTCTGGGCGAATCTGGAAAAAGCCATCACCGTCGTCCTCGTGGTTGGTGAGGCGTCCTGGCTGTCTCTTCTGCGTATATTTCCTCTCGCCTTGGCGCGGGCCCCCCTTCCACTCCTTACGTTGTCCCCATCCTCGCCCCCCTGTTTGTTCCGCGCCCCGCCACCTCCTCCCCTTCCTGTTGCATGAGCGCGCATGTCGATGTTCCTCGGCGCCGTCGCCGCCACGGCCAGCACAGGCGCGTTCTCTACAGGTCACGTCGCGCAGCCGTTGGGACAACCCCGCGGGCCAGGCTGTCGGGGCAACCCCGCGAGCCGTTGGCGCGCAAGACCAAGCCGTTGGGACAACCCCGCGGGCTTCGAGCGAGGCGCAGCCGCGCTCAGGCGGAAGGCAGCACGAAGCCCAGCTCTGCCGCGAGCTGCTTCGCCTCCGCCCTGGACAAAACCGTTCTCTTGTCGAACTCCAGGAGCGCCTTCCGCAGGGACGCCGGCGGCCCGCACTCCAGGAACTCTCGCGGCGGCGGCCGCAGGATCAGCATGTTCCGCATGCACGTGGCGCGGGAGAACATGACGTAGAGGTGCAGCCACCACTGCTCGTCCGACATGCCCGTGCGGCCAGCGTCCTCGTCTCTCGCGCAGTCGATGGTGACGCCCTTGCGCAGCGTCTGGCCCTGCGACAGCGTGGAGGTCAGGTAGGACGCGTGCGTCAGGGTGAACCCCGAGCGGCGCACGCTGTGCGCCCCCGAGCTCTGCCATGTGAACTCCCTTTCGCTGGGCCTGAACATCAGCAAGCTCCGCGCCCGCGCCTCGGCCTGGCCGTCGTCGTCGGCGCCTTCGGCGCCCTGTCGCAGCACCTCGGCGACCTGAGGAGCCCAAAAACTTCCTTGTTGCATCCAAAGTGTGGCCTGGGAACTGCGTTCTGGCAGCGCGAGAACCCAACATTGACGACAGTTACAGGTTTTGGATGACCTGCTCGGATTACCAACATGATCTGCGGGCCCCATAGGGAGGGGGCTCCCGCCTGAGACTTCCTCGCAGTTCACTCACAGACGAGGCTCCCGCCTGAGACTTCCTCCATATTCAGGCTTGAGGAGCCCAAAAGTGACGACAGTTACAGGGTTCCGATGACCCGCTCGGATTACCAACATGATCTGCGGGCCCCATAGGGAGGGGGCTCCCGCCTGAGACTTCTTCACAATTCACTCAAAGACGAGGCTCCCGCCAGAGACTTCCTCCAAATTCAGGCTTGACGAGCCCAAAAGTGACGACAGTTACAGGGTTCCGATGACCCGCTCGGATTACCAACATGATCTGCGGGCCCCATAGGGAGGGGGCTCCCGCCTGAGACTTCCTCGCAGTTCACTCACAGACGAGGCTCCCGCCTGAGACTTCCTCCATATTCAGGCTTGAGGAGCCCAAAAGTGACGACAGTTACAGGGTTCCGATGACCCGCTCGGATTACCAACATGATCTGCGGGCCCCATAGGGAGGGGGCTCCCGCCTGAGACTTCTTCACAATTCACTCAAAGACGAGGCTCCCGCCAGAGACTTCCTCCAAATTCAGGCTTGACGAGCCCAAAAGTGACGACAGTTACAGGGTTCCGATGACCCGCTCGGATTACCAACATGATCTGCGGGCCCCATAGGGAGGGGGCTCCCGCTTGAGCCTTCCTCAGAATTCACTCACAGACGAGGCTCCCGCCTGAGACTTCCTCCATATTCAGGCTTGAGGAGCCCAAAAGTGACGACAGTTACAGGGTTCCGATGACCCGCTCGGATTACCAACATAATCTGCGGGCCCCATAGGGAGGGAGCTCCCGCCTGAGACTTCCTCCCAATTCACTCACAGACGAGGCTCCCGCCTGAGACTTCCTCCATTTTCAGGCCTGGGGAGCCCAAAAGTGACGACAGTTACAGGGTTCCGATGACCCGCTCGGATTACCAACATGATCTGCGGGCCCCATAGGGAGGGGGCTCCCGCCTGAGACTTCCTCACACTTTACTCAACGATGATGAGGATGAGGATGATGAGTGGTGGTGAAGATGAGTGGTGAAGAGGATGATGATTGATTGTGGGTGGTGGTGGCGATGATGATGTTTGAATGAGGATGATGCCGATACCGATGATGACGATGATGTTCGTGAGCGTGTGAGAGAGTGCGAGTGATGATGATGTGTGTGTGAATGAGTGCGAGGAGAAGAGGGGGTGAGTGAGATCTCTCTCCTGCGCGGGGGTGTGCAGAGAAAACAAGAACCCCACTTTGGATGTGGGGAATTATAATAATAACAACACATAAGAACATGCGTCATCCGAGTATTCTCATTCTTCGGCTGCGGTCCCTGACCTCCGCCGTCTTCCGGCACGTCATCATGAAGTAATGATGACGTGCCCAAGTCCGCCGTCACGCCACTTAAGTACGAGCATCCTGAGCCCACGGAGGAAGACCGAGGAACGAGGGGAGGGAGGAAGCTAAGAGAAGGGACAGGACAGGCAGGCAAAAGTACTGAGCGCGGATTAGGATCCCATCTCCGAACCGCCGAGGATAGACAAGCGCGCTCCATCACTCGTAAACTGACCACTCGCAAACGGCCTGGGTCCGCCGCGGGGGACTTACGACATGTTACGTCGAGGCAAACAGATGTCTTTCGGACATCTGCGAGTAGACGCTTTGCCAGTAGTGGAACGCGCTCGGTGAGCCCAGACACCCGAAGCCATGATTTGTTCATAACGTCGACCCCCGGAGGCCTCGACCCACTCCCCGGGACTGGCGTCGCATCCTGAATCGTTGTTTGACGGTCCCGCGGACTGGCGAGGGCCCCCAAATGCAGAAAATTGCAACAACAACAAAAAAAAACTCCCACCATCATTGTTTCATTACTCGAGGGGATCTGGGAGGAGGAAAGCCACCAGCAAGACCCGTCCCCCGCTGCCAGCCGCCACAGCCGCGGTCTGACGGCATCGGAGCGCGCGCCGCGCTCCAGGTCCAGGTAGTACCTCCACGCGCCGTACAGGGAGCCTCGCGGCGCAGGGCGTTCCTCCTCCTCATTCCTCCTCATCCTCTTCCTCCTTCTCCTCCTCCTCCTCCTCCTTCCCCTCCCTCCCTCCCTCCCTCCCTCCCTCCTCTTCTTCCTCTTCTCCTCCTCCTCCTCCTCCTCCTCCCTCCTCCCTCCTCCTTCCTCGCTCCTCCCTCCTCGTCCCTCCTCCCTCCCCTCCCTCCCTCCTCCCTCCCTCCCTCCCCTCTCCTCCCTCCTCCTCCTCCTCCTCCTCCTCCTCCTCCTCCTCCTCCTCCTCCTCCTCCTCCTCCTCCTCCCTCCTCCTCCTCCTCCTCCCTCCTCCTCCTCCTCCTCCTCCTCCTCCTCCTCCTCCTCCTCCTCCTCCTCCTCCTCCTCCTCCTCCTCCTCCGCCTGGCCGTTCGGGGTGTCCGCGGGGCTGCCGCTGGCAGCTGCTTGGGGGTTCGGTCTTCGCGGGCGGCGGGTTGCTTGGCTACGGCCTCTCTCCTCGGAGGGCCAGCGCCTGGGCAGCTTGCTTTCGGGGTGTCCTCGGGCTCCTCGTCGCCGCCTCTTGGGCCGTCGCTGACGCGCTCTGGAGGCACCACCTGGCTTCAGGCCGCTTGTTCATCTCATCACCTCTTTCTCCCTCCCTCATGGTTTCGTTGACCTCAGCCTAAGGCTGCCGACTGCAGCATGCATTGGGAAATAAACTGCGCCAGCGCTCCGGCACCTTCGTCTATTGGCATGGCTCCTGCACGGATGTGCCACACATAGCCATCGGGAAACGGATCGCGTGTGCGCCACTCACCGCTCCCCTTCTAGATACCAAGCGGCGACTGAGCACTGAGTTAGCTCGAGTCCAGCAGTCCACGTGCAACAACAGATTAGTGTCACGCAGGTCACGCTCGGTACTACGTAGTCTGAGGGGCTGGGCGAAAGTCCTCCTTCCCTCCTTCCCTTACTTTCCCTGCCCATTTCCCTCCTTCCCTCCTCCCCTCTCCTCTCCACTCCTGCTCTTCCCTTCCCTTCCCTCCCCCTGCCATCTCCGCCCCTCCCTTGTCCTCCCCCTGCCCTTCCCCAGTTGTTTTCCTCACGCTCCTCCTCCTGGGACAACGCCTCCAGAGGTTCGCCGCCGTCGTAGTCTGCCAGCGCGTCCGCCGACAGAGGTGATACTGGCACTCCCAGCGTGCCGGTCCTGAGCGCCCTGTTGGCCCTGAGGGCCACGAAGAGGGAGAGGACCACGAGAATCGTCGTGACTCTGATAATCTTGATTATCTGATATGGAATGATGGTGGAAAGGGGGAGAAGCTGCCGCCGCACACAGGATTCGCACCCTCTCGAGAGAGGCTTCTCACTGAATGGCTTGAGCCAAAGCGGCAGTCACGCCGCTTTGCCGTATATATACCTCTCTGCACGCTGGGCACTCATGCTTACCCTCCCTTCTCCCGGGAGGACATATACACATCAACTCGGGGTGGGAAAAACTCAGCGAAAGTCTACGAGCTGATCCCACACGTACGCACTGAGGGCACAGCAGATTCGCTTACGCGGCTGGCCCGCCACTTGCAACCGACCTCTGATAGGCAAGTTGCCAAAACAAACACACAGCGCTCTCTGTGGGAGCACCCTAAACACAACACGGGAGCTCCCAAGGCTAAAAGAAGTGGACAGACGGCAAAATACATATATTCACATAAAGAGCACATCAAGGGCTACTGCCAATACCACAGTAACAGACAAGCAACACAGCGAGGAGCAATACGACTCGCACCAGTCACATGTAAGGCCTACCACAGTGTAGACACAAAAAAGATATAGGGAAAATATCCTCCCTGCAAAGATAGTAGTCCAATCTTCATCAAAAGAAAACCTTGCAATCCATCGACGTATGTAAAGATAAAGACTCACTGATATTCCCCCTCACTGGTGTCCTTGTGAGGACTCCGCAAACACAGAGCCAGAGGTTCATCTCCTGTTATCATCAAAACTGCCGTCTCCCATAGCTTCAAGACTAGGTTCTCGAGCCAATCCGCCCTTGGTCAACGCATCGCTGATCATGGCTCTAGTGTCCACCCACCAGAGCTTACAGAGAGTACCTGCTTCAAGTCTGTCACGTAGAGCTCTCAGCAAATACAAAAGGTGAGGTTCCGCTGGTGCCTTCAACTCGGTGGCACCCAGCGCCGTAAACAAGCCCCTGTTGTCCGTGCAAACGTGCAAGTCAACTGGTAGCCTTCCGGTGTCCATGAATTTCTGAATCTGTTTCGCCGTCAAGGGGCCGTGAACGATCTCGCACACCATAACTTGCGTCAACAAAGCATTGCTGATACCGCCATCCACACTTGCCAGCTCCGCTGAGAAAGTAGAACGGCATACTCGAGGTTGCTTTCGTGAGTAGAACTCCACTGCAGCACATAGTCCTCCTTTCGGCATGAAGTCTCGACCAGCAATCGCGATAACTGCCGCTCTCACAGCCAGGCAGTCCGGCTCGGTCGCACGAAAAGCACTGTCGGGGAAACCCACAACACTCCATGGCAAAGGTACTGAATAGTAGACAAGCGAACTCTTCTTTCTCTTGATCCACCGTACAACTGAGTTCAAATGTCTGACATGTTTCCAGCAAGGTTCATGAGCATGTCGCTGTAGATACCCGATATGGACTGCAACATCTGCTCGCGTAACTAACATCCAGGCTGCTCCACCCAAGAGTGACCAAAATGAAGTTCGGTCTTGAGAATCGAGGGCTTCTTCATCAGCTCGAATCTTGTCTACCTGCATTGGCCGAAGTTGAGCAGCGTAGTGATCCTGCGAGCACCACGCCGATCCGTCTTCATGCTGATCATGAATGACGCCGCAGTGCTCGAACCTTCTCTTCTGCCTTGTGAGTTTTCCGAACTCCGACTCAAGAGCATCCATGAAGGCGTCAGCAATCGGTTCGGTCGAAGCTCCCTTGAGATCGTCCACGTGGGTACTGCACACCATCTGCAGATCCTCAATTGCTATGTCCGGGTCAGTGAATAACACGTCTGTGCCTCGAGCCGCTTCCTTGTCAGCGTTTATGGGTACTAGCTCACGAGGTACCGGTTCACATCGAGGGCCAGCCCATTTGCAGTAAAATTGAGAATCGGTCACCAACGGCAAGAGCTGAAGCTTCGTCATTACTTGTTTTAGCCTGAGATTCCATAGCCTTGGCGCGTCCTTAAGACCGAAACCTGGACGTACCATCTCCAAGCAATGCCGATTCACATCATAGTTGGACAACGGCTCAAACTGCCTCGCGATCTTCACCGTGTCCTTGGGCAGGTCCAACTGAACGGTTCTGAGAGGTTCCCCTGTCATATCTGCCACATCTTGAAATGTGAGTCCCTTCAGAAATGCGCTGCCAACATCACAGGACCACAACATCCACTTGGGGCGACTGGCCGCGATGAAGTTCACTATCCTCTGGCTTTGCCTGGAGGCAGTCGCACTGAAAGTGTCCAGACGATCCTGCTGCATATCCTTGAAGCCCTTGATGCATAGTCGCGCTTTGACTGCCAACTTGCCGTCTGGCTGCTTCTTCCAGCGGATAACCCATCGAGAGTCCATCAAGTTGGTGCATCCTTGCCTGCTGCGTTGCTTGAGCGCGCCCAACTCGATCCAGTTGCCTAGCTCTTTCGACATAGCCTTTTCCACCTCCACTCGATGCTTAATCAGGTCCTCCTTGTTGAGTTCGTCAGCCTCTCGTTCAATAACCATCTTGGTCTTCCCTGTCGAGTTGACGGACAGAATAATGCGGTGTCTCTCGTCGTTCGCAAAGAGGGAAAAGATCTCTGACTTGGGAAAGTCGTGCGTATCAGAGGTCATGATCACAAGCCTGGAAATCTCCGATCCAAACTCCACCTCCAGAGCTTGCGTCTCCCTTTCTGTATTCTCAAGATGAGTAGCCACCTCAACAGCTTCCAACACTCGGGAATCTAACCAGTACTCTGCATCAGGCGGTGATCGGTTGTCAAGGATGGCACGAAAGAAACTGAACTCTGTCCTCACGTGTCGCATCCATCCAGGATCCCAAGGTTCCAACCACAGATCCTGCACGTCTGAATTGCCGTCTGGCTCGATACGGTACGGCTGTTGAAATGGCCGCCACGTAGGTCTTAGCAGTTCGGGGTCTGCCTCTGCATCTCGGGGATGAGCTACCCCTTGAGCCTGAGGCTCAGATGCCTCGGATTCCTCGTCGATGGTGGCCTCGGGTGTCGGCCAGCGATGCCATCGATCCGATCGTTCGTCCTCGTCATGCGGATCGCGCGGCCGTACCTGACCGCGCGGTGCTGGAAAGTCGGGCATCTGATGCGGTCCTCCAACATGAGGGACGTGAACATCAATTTGCCGCAGAACCTCGGCTGTAGAAATTTCCACCATTAGAAACTGCACCCAGCACACGCGCCCGAAACCTGGCCCCATCATATGTTGTGTACTCGCCTTCGCTCGAGGATCAAAACTTGCATGGTGATAGCCAATCGATTCTCCTGGAAACCACCATACGATCATGCATGTGTGATGGCCTCGGGCAGCTGGAACTTCTCGCGAACCGTACCCCAGTCTCGTGGCTACAACTCCATATAGTTGAAAGTCGCAGGCAGCCACGTGGAAAGCTGCCGTCGTCAGAGTCGGCAGCCGACGACTGGTCTTCGTCATCCTCCAGTGCCCATCCTCTCCGATCTCATATCCCAGGAGTAACGTCGTGCCCGCCGCCATGTTCTCCACATAGTATACTAAGAGCTGGTATGGCTTGGTGTCCCCGCGGCCAGGAGCCGCAATCAGAGTCCACCATGTTACTGCCTTACGAACATCGGCCGGTCGGCACGGTAGCGTGCGACCCTGCCATCGCACGTCTATGATGCCCTCGTCAGCTCGATCCATGGCAACTACCTTGCAAGGTCCCCGCCAACCAGTGACATCTTTGTTCGGCGGGTCCCTGAAGATGTCCACCGAGTCACCTACCCGAAGGTCTCCGAGCTGAGCCGCTGGTCTCGTTCGCGTGCGAGCCGCTATCTTCAGCCTCTCCTGAGCGTTGCCCTGCGCGATGTTGGCCAGAGCCAACTCTCGGACCCGATGAACATGGCGAGATACTGAGCCTCCCGACTCGTCGTCGAACTCAGATCCTCCCCCTCCGAGCTCCAGTAGAATGTTCGGAACCCGACCATACAAAGCCGCATACGGGGTGGTTCCGTGAACGCTGAGGAGGGTGTTCATGGCCAACAAGGATTCGTCCAGCAACTCTTCCTTTGAAACTCTGATGCCTTCCTCATTTGCTTGACTTCTGACTCGATGATACTGTGTTCGAAGTAAGTCATTCCTCCGTTCAATAACATGCGCGTGCGCTCCTTTGGGCTTCGGTCTCAGGTCCACCTTCCAACGATCTGCCCAGATAGCTCCTTCATCCGAGAACAATGCTCCCTCCTGATCTGAAGTGATGAACTTCGGAGGGCCATGGACTCGAAACCAAATATGAGTGATGGCCGGGAGTACATCACCCGGTTCTTTTGACTTCACGAATAGCCCTTGAGCCCATCTGATACACATATCGATCAAGTGCACCACGATACCGTCATCCAGGAAAAGCAAATCAAACTGAATTCCTTCATTGAAGGTCGTGGTGAACGTTAAACTTGTCATCGACTTTTCGCCTCGTCGCTGCCATTCTCGACAGACGGTGCAAGTGTCCACGACGTCCTGCACCATATTGATCACTTCACGTGGTAGCCCTGCGGCTGAGAGAAGGTCTCGTAGTCGTTGGGCTGGAGCGTGCCAAAGTCGTATATGCATACGACGTAGAGTACGTTGCACCATTCCAGGAACCGCTGATCTCAGCCCCTGAATAGCACGTCCCATGTCCCACTGCGTCCAGTCCGCTCCTGTGTCGATCTGGGCCATAGCATCTTGAAATCTGCGCCTCCTCAGTGCCACCTCGTCTCCACTTGCCCCGGCCGGAGGTCCTGGTCCTCCTGCAGGAAGAATGGCTTCCTCCGCTGCTGCATCTGGAACCGCTCCAGAGGGTCCAGCTTCAGGATGAGGTTGTACGTCATCATCGCCTTCCCGAGCTGCTGCCGAGGCAGCACCTGATGGTCCGGCTTCAGGATGTGGGGCGGCGTCCTCCTCTTCTTCTCCTGCTCGAGGATGTACTCGATGTCCGGCACCTGCCGCTCGTGCTGCCGGTACTCTTGGATCTCGAGCGTGAGCGGGTCCCGATCTTCTCGTCCCAATCATCCTGGGCTCGTCCATGAGGAGGCGACAGTCTGTGTCAAAAGTGTGTCGGGGATCGTGCCGATCTCGACCCGTTCTGCACGCGGGACAATTGTACTCCAGCGGTTGTACCAGCGGATGTCGACACTGTCCCGGGATGCGATTGTGTGTCGGATGCGTGCTGACTCGATTTCTCCGACATCCAGGACATAAATGAGGTCCAATCGCCGCCCGACGAGCACGTGGGTCAACCGCTTCTTCTGGTGCGGGCGGTGGCGGAGGAGCACTTGCTGCCGCTGCCTCTGCTGCTGGAGCCGGTAGTCCAGGTGGAGGATGGTCAATAGGAGCGGGTACTCCTTCGCCATTCATCCTCGGGTACGCCATTACTGTCGGATAGATCAACTTCCTCAGGTCCAATTCGTGAAGCCATATCAACTCTGAGATCCCATCGGCCAAGATACGAGCGAACTGCCAGGTCCATACCTGGGAAGGCTTGGTGTCCCGTCCAGAGCATTCCCCATGTCGATGCTGACGATCACACTCCTTGGAACGCAGCCGATAAATCAGCACCTCGTGGCTCGCCCATACCTCCTCCGGTTTGTTCAAGGGCTCCTTCTTCGAGTTGACAAGTCCCAGCATACACATGTTGAACTGAACCCAAGTGAGATTCTTACGTGCCAGATCCATCCATTCTGAGGTTCGATAAATACGACTTCCCCTCGGCAGCTCATTGACGTAGTGGCGTCCTCCATCCAACTGAATATGGGCTGCCTTCGCACAAATCTGTCCTAGTCTGAAAGATGCCTCCGCATTACGACGATGCACCTCGCTGCCGATCGACTCGTTTACCGTGCACCATCCCGCGGTACCAGTACACTGAGGAGCCATCACCAACACAAAGGGTCGCTCCTCCTTCAAATATTGGTAGAGCTCCATCTCCTCGTCCCGCTGGAGGAGATCCACGCCCATGAGAGCATCAAAATTACGACCTCCCACGTAGTGTCGTCGAACGAGTAGCTGAGTGGTGCGTCCTTCTCCTCCCATGATTTCAGCGACATCTACGAAGAAACGGTTCTCGGTCTGCTTTAGGTGATTCAGGAAGGATCGACCCGATGGGATGCCAAGGAAATGTCGTTCTCGATCTGGAGGACGTTCATCTCTGAGTCGTCCGATGATATCATCCGTCTTGAACTCACTCGGTTCCAGATAGTAATCCTCCACCTCATTGTCCGGCATCTCCCACCAGCACACCTCCTCGTTCTGTAGGTAGTTGAGCTCTCCGAGGTCCTCGCCACAATCATCCATGACGTCGGGATCTATAATCCTCTTGACTTTCTTCTTCGGTTCGTGTCCCTCGGCCTTCCTGGACTTCAGCTTCTCCTTGTAAGCCTTGGCCGAGTCGGTCGGATAGAAACTGACCGTCTTCGACTTCATCACCACCATGTGGGAGTCAACGGGCTCATCAGGTCCCGTCTGCGGATATCGTGCAGCTCGATCCGTATCATCATCGTTCGGTACCTCTCCTCGAACTGCATCGCACAGCTTGTCTCGGAGTCTATTCTGCCAGAATACGGTAAGAAACTGACCTTCAAGCTGAACGTGTTCCAACCCTGCCGATCTACGATGATCTGAAATCTTACGACCACAACTGCACGAGTCAGGCAGCAGGTCCAGGTTGGAAAAGAATCTCTGGCTGGTCGTCGGGGCCATGTCGTTGCCTGACGTTAAGTAGCTGCACCATCGATGATCTGTCATCCGATATCCTGGCAAGGTCGTTGCCGTCGCTCTGAGAAGATCATCCTCCTGCCAGGCCTCATTCGCAGTTTGGGAATCGACCACCAGCACGCACCGAAGCTGAATCAAGCGCGCGATGAGTGTGGAGGTCGCCGTCAATCTTTGCCTTTGTTTTCGGGTCTTCCCTTGTCTTCTAGTAACGTCAGGTATAAGGGAATGTAGTCGCATCCAAACACCTCGACACTTCCCTCGCTCCAAAAGTCGGAGAATATGCTCCATGGTCGAGGTGTGCAGGAGACTTAGGCGGGTGTAGGTGATGTGGGCCTGACTCAGCAGCTTCGTGCGAATCGGATGGCCGTTGTCTTCGTCTATCGCTATGATATCCGGGTCCTGTTCGGGAACGTCCAGATGCCAAGCTAGATGATTTCCTGCGGCACCGCCGTCGCTTGGCAACGGCGGACCGCACCCTCAATGCCCCGCAGGCCTCGAGGTGATGGCTGGTGACGGTTCGTGCGTCGACAAGTCCGCCTCGTCCTCCTTCACCTTATCTTTGATCATGGGCTTGACGATCACAGGCGCACTCGCATGCCAGGTGGCCGGCTCCTGCTTCGCGCGAACCTTCTTGTCCTTACCGTTGCCGAAGAAATGCGAAATAGGTAACAGCAGATGTCCTGATCTTGAATCTTCCAGGTTGAACGTGAGCGTCCCTGGCGGTGGTGTAAACTGTACTCTTCCCGGGCCACACGAATACAACTTGTTGTTGATCATGTCGACCACCGCCCTGTTGTGCTTCAGACTGCGCTTTCCCCAGAGAGCGGGAATGTCGGAGTCCGGAACCACTGGGGCCTTGTAGCTTATCTGATGCACCTTGCCTCGTTCATCCTTGGATGCGCCTGGCATCGTCACCTCCTCCTTGGCGATCTGAGCGTTGGTGCCGACTCCTTCAACTCCTATCGATTGATCCATCAGACGTTGCGTCGTTTCCAAGCCTGCCTGTCTTGCCAAAGCTCCCATTCGCATAACCCATCTGTCACCCACCAAATTGTCATACGCGCCTGGATCTATCAACAAGCACTCTTTGCCATCAATTCGTGTAGCCTCTAGAAATACCTGTCGTGTCTCATCGCATCGTTCGAACACCGGTCCCGCAAACCACTTCAATCCCGCAGGTTTGGTTCCTGAGTCAATCTGCTCGTCGTTGGACCGATGCTCTCCGAGAGTTGCCTCCATGTCCGGGTCATCTATGATCCGAGCCTTCGCCTGTTCAATCATCTGAATCGTCTCATTGCCGATGTCCACGAACTCCGAGGGAGTCGATAGCATATCCCAGGATGCGGATGAAGCACAGTCACGGCGGACCCCCTCTTGAAGGTCTGGCCGTGCATGCGACTCGCACAGGCGCGAGCCTTCCTCCTCCACGTCCGGGTAGTAGCTGTCCTCGTACTCCTTCTCGTCATCCTTGGACACGTCCACCTGTGACTCCATGTTGCTCGGCATGGCGAAGAAGTGTCTGGTCGCCGTTGACGCTGCCGGTTGGCCCGTGAGTTGCTGCCAGTGCTGCAACGCGCTGGAGAAACTTGAAGCTGGTTGGGCTCCTCCTGTACTCATATTTCCTTCTGTCGTCACATAACCCTTTCCTCCTGAGGTAGCCCGCTTCCGTCGGTAATCGTCAGCTCCCGGAGCGTCACACTTCCTCCATAGATGCTTCTCGCTGTTGCAGTGGTCACATCGAAGTGGTTGTCCGTTCGCGCCTCTCGGGTTGGTCTTCTCGCCCTTGCCCTTGCCCTTGTAGTATTCATGGGTGTTCCACGTGCACCCGGGGCAAAGAGCTCCGTCTCCCGCTTCAGAAAGAAAAGACCATCCACTACTTCTCTGAAATCTGACCCCTTTCTTGCCCTTGCCTTTGCCTTTGTATCTACGACGCCTTGGAAGTCTGTCCGCTCGCCTCCCCCAGTGCTTCTTGGCCAAAGCGTATACTTCATACAGATCGCTGTCGCTCATCTGGGCACTGATGTGGAAGGTCGACTCCGCCAAATCGTTGCCGTCATCATCGCTCGTCTCGGTGGAGTCCGGGTCTTCCCGGTCGTAGAATATCTTATGGCAATTGCTGCACCAGCATCCTTCTGTATTTGATCCATTCGATACCCCAGCAACTCCGCCGAGTGGTACACCTGACCTCGACGAGGACGATGCGCTGGGGTAGTAGGGCATCGGTGGCGGTGGTACTCCCACTTGGGTGCCCGTGTCCTGTGAACTGTCCGTGAAGTAGAAACCGTCACCGGAGCCTGTGGGGTTTGTGAAATGCTGATGCCTGGATTGATGAGCTGCCTGCGCAAGTCCACTCCGTTCGTAAAGATGATTCTGACGCCTAATAAAAGAGGTAAGACTTGAAAGCTCCTGTTCATTCGTTGGTAAGTTACCTCCCGTTGGTGCCAGAAATTGAGCCCACTGTGGCGGTGGAATACCCAGAGCATTGAGTAACATCCAAGCCAAATTCGGAGTTCCCATGTGGAAATTTCCCAGATGCTCAGCCTTGAACTTCAGAAGATCGAATCGAGCCAAAGCCTGGTCAATCGGTTCGCCTGGCCGTCGACGAAAAGCAACCAGGTCCGTCATGCTCGCGATAGCGGTCTCCGCCTCCAGTGGCATGAACTTGCGTCGCAGCCCGTGAATCAGTAGGTCCAGCCCCGAACACCATCGATGTCCAGCTCCGTCACGGAGGTCCATGTAAACTCCGTCTTGTAATTGATCTGGCGGCACTTCTCTCGATATCTCTCTGGCCAATCCTGATAGCTGCAAGACCACGGCCGGAGCGATCGAGCGTGCCGGTATATCTGTCATAGCTTCCCACATGCGGATGTCCGTGATCCAATCTCTGAGTGGATATGAGGACTCCCTTGCGGGGTCCCAGCTCGGTGGCGTCTTCGTATTGGACTGCATGATATGAGGTCCAGCTGGTATGCCACCGTTCATCTGCGGGGCGTTCGCCATGACGTAGTCGTAGTAGCGCAGTGGTATGTTGTCCTGGGAGCAGGTACGGGATCGCACCTGCTCCGCTACCAAGTTGTTTTCCTCACGCTCCTCCTCCTGGGACAACGCCTCCAGAGGTTCGCCGCCGTCGTAGTCTGCCAGCGCGTCCGCCGACAGAGGTGATACTGGCACTCCCAGCGTGCCGGTCCTGAGCGCCCTGTTGGCCCTGAGGGCCACGAAGAGGGAGAGGACCACGAGAATCGTCGTGACTCTGATAATCTTGATTATCTGATATGGAATGATGGTGGAAAGGGGGAGAAGCTGCCGCCGCACACAGGATTCGCACCCTCTCGAGAGAGGCTTCTCACTGAATGGCTTGAGCCAAAGCGGCAGTCACGCCGCTTTGCCGTATATATATACCTCTCTGCACGCTGGGCACTCATGCTTACCCTCCCTTCTCCCGGGAGGACATATACACATCAACTTCCCCATCCCCTGCCCTCTCCTTCACTCCCCTCTCCTCCCCCTTGCCCTCCCCTTCCCCACCCCGCCTGCCCCGCACCCCCCGTGCCGCGCGACAGCACCCCCCGTGGCCAGCGGCACGCGCTGACCCCGCCCGCGCCGCGCGGCGAGGGGAGCGCGCCGCAGCGGTGGACGAGCGCGAGCTTGAAGCCCTAGCGGGGCGCGAACGCTGCCAGCCTCGTCGTCGCCGCCGCCGCCGCCGCCGCCAGTCGCCGTCAGGCGCCGCCCGCTGTCGTCGACATCCCGATGATCGTGGTCGACGTCGCCGTCGTCCTGGGGTGGTCGCCGCCGCCGCCCACCGTCGCCCTGGTCGCCACTGCCGCTCCCGCCGCCGCCCGCCGTCGTCGCTGTCGCCGACGGCCACCAGCCGCCGCCGCCCGCCGTCGTCATCGCCCTGGTGGTCGGGCCGCCACATCTGTTTTGGTGTCTCTGAATTTGACAATGGTGAGGATGTCCTCACGCTCTACAACTGCTTGCCAATCCTGAGCCCACACATCAGAATTTCTGGTGTATTCCAAGTGTGGCCGGGGAGAACCCCATGAACAACCTACGTAGGCGGCATCTGGCACGTACGTGCCATCTCCTGCTGTCACCTGCACCGCTCGAACGAGGGCCAGCAGCTCTGCTATGGGAGAGGTCTGTCTCCAGCCTGCTACTGTGCCCCGACAGGACGCGAGGACCAACTCGCCCTCACAGATGGCAAAGCCCCAGCCGACTCGCCTCAAGCGGTAGTTCTCGCTACGTATTCCTCCCGAGCCGTCGCCACCTGTGACACCGTCTGGAGGCAGCTGAAAACTTCGATGATCCCCCAAAGACTCTCGATCTTAAACTGCATTTTCAGCCGGCAACTGGAGGGTCTTCAGGGGGCCTTTTTCCGAAGTGTTGGAACCGATCCTCGCAGCCAGAACAAGTGTAAGGTTCAGCTCCTCCTACTCCTCTTCTTCTGATTATCCTTCCCACTCGTATCAATATTCGTGGCATTCGTATAACTACTCGCAAAAGTATTCTTACAACGTAGCACCCCACACTTGCGGATAAGAGTGAGGGGGCGGGCGCGGGCGACGCCAGCGTCGAGCCGGCGGACCTCGTGGCACTCACCTTCCCTGTCGATGGTCCTCCTCCTCCTCCTTCTCCTCCTCCTCCTACTGCTCCTCCTCCTCCTCCTCCTCCTCCTCCTCCTCCTCCTCTTTCTCGTCTGCGTCATCGTCCTCATCGTCGTCGTCGTCGTCGTCCACCTCCTTCACCTCTTCCTCCTTTTCCGTTTCCTCCTCCTCCTCCTCCTCCTCCTCCTCCTCCTCCTCCTCCTCCTCCTCCTCCTCCTCCTCTCCTCCCCTCCTCTCCTCCTCCTCTCCTCTCCTCCTGCTGCTGCTGCTGCTGCTGTGCTGCTCCTCCTCGTCCTCTCCTCGTCCTCCTCCTCTCCTCCTCCTCCTCTCTCCTCCTCCTCTCTCCTCTCTCTCCTCTCTCCTCCTCCTCCTCCTCCTCCTCCTCCTCCTCCTCCTCCTCCTCCTCCTTCCTCCTCCCTCCTCCTCCTCCTCCTCCTCCTCCTGCTCCTGCTCCAGCTCCTGCTCCTGCTCCTGCTCCTCCTCCTTGCTGCTCCTGCTCCTGCTCCTGCTCCTGCTCCTGCTCCTGCTCCTGCTCCCGTTCCTGCTCCTGCTCTGCTCCTGCTCCTGCTTCTATCCTCCCTCCTCCTCCTCCTCCTCCTCCTCTCCTCCTCCTCCTCCTCCTCTCTCCTCCTCCTCCTCCTCCTCCTCTTCCTCCTCCATCCCGATCCTCACCCCTCCTCCTTTCCGTCGTCGTCGTCGTCCTCCTCCTCCTCCTCCTCCCCCTCCTCCTCCCTCCTTTCTCGTCGTCCCCCTCCGTCCCCCACTCCTTTACCTCCTCGCCCTCGTCGTCGGCCTCCTCTTCGTCTTCGTCGTCGTCGTCCGTTTCCTCCTGCTCCTCGCCCTGCTTTTCCTCCCCTCCTCCGCGGAGCGCGCGCGCGCCGAGGAGATGCTTTGCGGGCTTGTGTCAGTGAACGTAGTTTGGGTCGCGGGTGGGTCGCGGGCTTTCCATCTCCACCTGGGGGGAATTCAAAAACAGCCCGCCGCAGGCGCCGAAAACAATTTGTACCATGAACACGGTTTGGGTCGCAGGTGGGTCGCCGGTTCTCCACTTGGAACGAATGTAACAGAAGCCCGCCGCAGGCGCCGAAAATTTTGGGTGGGTCGCGGTGTAGGTCGCGGGTGGGTCGCGGGTGGGTCGCGGTGGGTCGAGGGTGGGTCGCGGGCACGGTTCGGGTCGCGGGTGGGCCGCAGGTTCTCCACCTGGAAAATATCAATCAATCAAAAAAAAAAAAAAAAAACGCGGCACGCGCCGAAAATTTGGGTGGTCGCGGGGTGTCGCGGGTGGGTCGCGGGTGAGTCGCCGTGGGTCGCGGGTGGGTCGCAAGGGGGGGGGTCTCGGGGTGGGTCGCGGGCGGGTCGCGGGGTGGGTCGCGGGTGGGTCGCGGGTGGGTCGCGGGTGGGTCGCGGGCTGGGTCGCAGGTGGGTCGCAGGTGGGTCGCGGTGGGTCGCGGGTGGGTCGCGGGCGGGTCGCGGGTGGGGTCGCGGGTGGGTCGCGGGTGGATCGGGGGTGGGTCGCGGGTGGGTCGCCGGGTGGGTCGCGGGCTGGGTCGCGGGTGGGTCGCTGGGTGGGTGTGGGTGGGTCGCGGGTGGGTCGCGGGCTGGGTCGCGGATGGGTCGCGGGGTGGGTCGCGCTTGGGTCGCGGGTGGGCCGCGAGGAGGGTCGCGGGTGGGTCGCGGGGCGGGTCGCGGGTGGGACGACGACAACAACAAACAAGCAACAAACAACAATCAACAAACAACAAGTAACAAACAACAAGCAACAGACAACAAACAACAGCAACAACAACAACAGCAGCACCAACAACAGCAACAACAACATTTATTTTAAGACTGTTCGATATTATCTGCCCTCGTGTCATTCAATTTGCACTTCCCAAACCCTGGATACCCGCCCTCTTCGTCTTCGATCGTACCCCCCTTTGGGGGTAAATTCGTTCCATGCCAGGTGTGGTAGGTGAAACCGTTTGAAAACGAAGGGTAACAGATAACGGGGGAGAATGAGGACGAAAGGATCGGATGAATGGAGGCGAGGGCAAAAAGGAAGGAGGACGATGATTTGCGCTGCGAGTGGCGATTCAGCTTGCGCCATGGCTTGCGCCAGCCATTCCAACACAGGTACACAATAAGTTTCGCCATGGGTCGCGCCAGCAAAAGCGCCACGTACCACCCCCTTGAAAGAACATGTCGTGGATACCCCCCCGGGGGGACGTACAGCTGCGAACTGGTGTCGGAAACAAATGTCGTGGAACCCTGAAAAGAAGCGGGATGTTGAAGTGCAACCGTGTCGAGAGGAGCGCGGGGATGTGGAGTGGATTGGGGTGGAGTGGACAAGAGTAAGGTCTCAGGAGGAGGAGCGGCAAGGAGTGGAGAAGAGGAACCGGGAGGAGTGCGAAGGAGCGGGGGGCGCACGGAGGAATCTGGAAGAGGGACTGGTAATACTTTGGGAGGAATGCGGAATGCGAGCGGCCACGAATAGCAGAAGGGGGCCACGAAGGGCGACAGCGGGGCCACGACGGGCATGCATATGGGGCCACGACGGGCGCGAACGAGCGGGGGCCACGAAGGGCATACACATTTGGAGCCATAGAGGGCGACAGCGGGGCCACTGAGGGCAGAGAGGGGGCCACGAAGGGCAGCGAGAGGGCCACGAAGGGCGACAGCGGGGCTACGAAGGGCATGCGTATGGGGCCACGACGGGCGACTGCGAGCTGGGGCCACGAAGGGCATATAATGCGGGGCCACAATGGACAGCGACGGGGCCACTGAGGGCAACAACGGGGCCACGAAGGGCAGCGAGCGAAGGCGACCGCGGAACCAGCACGGGCAGCGAGGGGCATCGAAGGCGGGCGAAGGGCAGCGAGCGGCGACTGAAGTCCCTAACGGGCGGGTCGGGCGGGCAGACCCAGACGGGCGGGTCGAGCGGGCGGGCCGTTGAAGCGTAAATTATGCTTGAACCGCCAGGCAATATGTAGCGGGAGCGCGATTCCTGAGTGTCGAGGAGCGGCATCTGAATAACTTGAAGTATCAGGCGGGAGCTGCGATTCGGTGGTAAGTTGCGAGGAAGTCCCAAGCGAGAGCGCGACTCTTCAATAAATTGTAACGACGTATCAAACGGGAGCCGCGATCCGGTGGTAAATTGTAAGGAAGTCCCAGGCGAGAGCGCGACTCTTTAATACATTGTGAGGAAGTATCAGGCGGGAGCCGTTGTTGTTGTAAACCGAGGGCCAACAACGCAGTTTGACCCTCAAAGCTTTCCCTTGTAAAAAACAAGGCGCGAGCCCCGGGAAGGGCACTTCTATCGAAACAAACACAATGTGCACCGGGCGGGGGGATCAACAATAATTATCCTTCAGAAATGAAAGTTCAACAACAACAACAACAACAACCACAACCACAACAACAACACCAACAACACCAATCATCATAAGACTGCTCGCTCCTATCTGCCCACGTGTCATTCACTATGCGTATCCCAAACCCTGGATACCCGCCCTCTTCGTCTTCGATCGTACCCCCTCTTGGGGGGTTATTTCTTCCGGGCCACGTGTAATTGGAGAAGCGCGGGAGGCGAACCCGCAATCAGAGGCAGCGAGCTCTGGCACTTGTCGGTGAGACCCCATTTCACTTGTCGCAAGCAGATATCAGCGGCAATCCACACTGAGACCCCATTTCATTAGCCATAACGCTGGGGTCACTGCGTGCAGGAAAACGAAATACGGCAGTGGACAATGTTGTTGCCCAGCGGCCCCGCGGGAGGTGAAGTCGGAGCCCGACGTCATCAATCACATTGCTGGTATTCGCGCGTGCGGGAATGGAGCGAGCTGCGTGAGGGGTGCCACCGAATTTCAGAATGCCAAGAATGTTCCAAGCGAAACGGCCGGAAAAATACCGGACGCGGCCGCGCGGGGCCGCGCGGCCGCGCGCACGCATTAATCGCCTCTGAGCTCTATTCCCTCAGAGAGGTGCGTGTGAAATAATTATTCTTCAGGGTTTGAAAGAGGTCCCAGGCGGGAGCGCCATTATGAGAGTTTAACGTGCCTCAATTGCGCGGGAGGTCCCAAGCGGGAGCGCCGCTCCTTGAGTAAATTGTGCGGAAGTCTCAGGCGGGAGCGGGGGTCCTGAGTAAATTGCGAGGAAGTGTCAAGCGGGAGCGCCGATCCTGAGTAAATTGTGAGGAAGTCTCAGGCGGGAGCGGGGGTCATGAGTAAATTGTGAGGAAGTCTCAAGCGGGAGCCGTTGTTGTTGTAATCCGGGGGGGCAACAACGCAGTTTGAGGATCAAGACTCCCCCTGTCAACAAACAGGGTGCGAGCGTCGAGGGGCGCACTTTGACTGAGAAAAAACAGTGTGCACCGGTGGGGGGGGATCAACAATAATTATTCTTCAGAAATGAGAATTCAACAACAATAACAACAACAAGAATCCGCATCGCAGAATTCCACTTCAGCCACGCACCCAGGGACAGTGAATGACCGTTCGGCTCAGCCCCCTCACTCTGATCATGATCATTCGCCCAAGTATTATCATTCATGTTACCACGCTTAGCATCAGCATTATTAGCATTAGCATCGCGAGTCGTATTAGCAGTAGTCCTACTAATAGGACGGTAGTATTATTATGCATACGGATAATACGAGAATTACCTATATGAGAAATACTACCATAATGAGAAATATTAGTATTGTCCGTATTGCTGGTATGATTAGTTCGGTTCGTCTTCGTCTTCGTCTTCGTGTTCCTCCTCCTCCTCCTCCTCCTCCTCCTCTTCCTCCTCCTCCTCCCCCTCCTCCTCCTCATCCCGATCCTCATCCTCGTCCTCATCTTTCTCCCCCCGCCTCCTCCTCCGCCTCCTCCTCTCCTCCTCCTCCTTCCTCCCTCCTCCTCCTCCTCCTCTCCTCCTCCTCCGCCTCCTCCTCCTCCTCCTCCTCCTCCTCCTCCTGCTCCTCCCCCTCCCCCTCCTCTTGGGCGGAGGCGGAGGGGGAGCGGCCGCCTTGGCCGTGTGGAGCCCAGACTTCATCTGCCCGATCTTGTCCAGCTGGTGCTTGAGCTCCGCCTGGCGGGGGCCGGGCGGGGGAGGGACGGCAGCGGCGCCCCGCCCCCCTCGCGACGAGGAGGAGCAGGGTGACGACGAGGCCGACGATGACGGGTAGGAGGCGGGGGAGGAGGAGGAGGAGGAGGAGGAGGAGGAGGAGGAGGAGGAGGAGGAGGAGGAAGAGGAGGAGGAGGAGGAGGAGGACGAGGAGGACGAGGAGGAGGAGGAGGGGGAGATGGAGGAGATCGAGGGGTAGGGTAAAAGGAGGAGGAGGAGGAGGAGGCTCTCGAGGCCGGGGGATCGTGGAGTACCTCAGTGTTCCAGAAAGTAGTTTGCGAGCTTGCACCCTTCTCTTCATCACTATCCTTGTATTACCTCTCTCTCTATGAATATACACACTCCTTCTTTAAGTTGAACCGTTAAACTGTCAGCCTCTTCAAAAAACAAATACCGATGCGATACCAATACATTGCCAACCAAAGCCAATGCAATGCCAAGTGGGATTATTTTGCTTCGGTGGATTTCAAGACGGCACCTTGTGTGGATGATGTCATGACGAATCCTCCCTCGGAGGATTTCGGTCGACATGCTTATGTGGAAGGTTTCGGCAGGAATCCTCCTTTGGAGGATTCTACTAGGAATCATTATTGCGGGGGTTTCAACCCCTTCTTGTGGAGGATTTCAGTCGGAGTCCGTCTGCGGAGAGAGCCATGAGGACTCGCCAGCGCAATGCCAGCGCAATGCAAAAGCAGTGCCAACGCAATGCCAAACCAATGCCAAGGCGACCTCAATCCAATGCCAATGCTCTGCCAACGGGGGTAAACCTTTGTGGTAGGTTTCAATAAGAACCCTTCTGGGGTTTGCAATCGGAATCCTTCTGCGACGGGAGGCATTGGAACTCGCTAGCGCAATGCCAGCGCAATGCCGAAGCAGTGCCAACGCAATGCCAGCGCAATGCCAATGCGATCCAAAATCCGATGCCAATGCAATGTCTTTGGGGGCAGTCCTTTGTGATAGATTTCAAAAGGAATCCTTTTTTGCGGAGGCGAGCGAAGGCACGAGGACTCGCCAGCGCAATACTAAAGCAGTGCCAAGGCAATGCCAAACTAATGCCAAGGCGACCCCAATCCAATGCCAATGCAATGTCGTCGGGGGCAATCCTTTGTGGTGGATTTCAATGAGAATCCTTCTTCTGGGGGTTGCAATAGGAATCCCTCTGCGAAGGGAGGCACTAGGACCCGCCAGCGCAATGCCAGTGCAATGCCAGCGCACTTCCATTGCAATGCCAACGCAATGTTAAACCAATGCCAATGGGGGGTATCTTCTCTCGGCGTATTTCAATGGGAATCGTTCTGGGATGATGCCTTTGCGAACCCATGTTCGGAGGATGTCAATAGGAATCCTTATGTGAAGGGCTTCGAAAGTTATCCTTCTGTGGAGGAGTTCAATGTGAGTCCGCCTTGTGTGTGGGGGGGGGTCACTAGGCATCCTTTTGTTGGGGTGGATTACTAAGAATTTCCCTGTGGAGCGTCCGAATAGGACTCGCCAGCGCAATGCCAACGCAGTGCCAACGCAATGCAATACCAATGTCATGGCGATCCCAATCCAATGCCAATACAATGCCAATGGGGGCAATCCGTTGTGGTAGGTTTCGATAGAAATCCTTTTTTGTGGAAGGTGTCAATAGACACCCTACTGCGAAGGGAGTAATAGGACTCGCCAGCGCAATGACAGAGCAATACCAACGCAGTGCCAACGCAATGCCAGCGCAATGCCAAGGCGGTCCCAACCCAATGCCAATGCAATGCCAATTGGGGAAATCCTTTGTGGTAGATGTCAATAGGAATCCTTCAGTGGAGGGCTTCGCATGGAATCCTCCTATGGAGGATTTCAATCTGAACCCTTTTTGTGGAGGGTTTCAATAGGAGTCCTTCTTGCAGGGGTTTTGAACGGGAGCCCTTCTGTGGAGAGTTTCATCCGGATTCGCCAACGCAATGCTGGCGAAGTGCCAGCGCAATGCCAACGCACGACCAAGCACAATTCCAGCGCAATGCCAAACAATATCCAAACCAATGCCAGTGCAATGCCGACGGGGGGATTCTTTCTTTCGAAACATCGCAATAGCAATCCTTCTGCAGGTGACTCCACTAGGAACCAATATGTGGAGGATGTCAAGTGCAATCCTTCTGTGGAGGGTTTCGATTAGAATCCTCCTGTGGAAGATTTCACTATGAACCCTTCTTGTGGGGGCTTTCAATCGGAATCCTTCCAGAGGCGAGGGCCGATGAGGTCACGCCGGATCCCCCCCCAAAAAGAAAAAACAAAAAACAACAGCTTCGCGTGGTTTCATTTTTTCTGGTAGGGGGGGGGGGGCAGGCAAGGGAAAAAATATGGTGCATCCCTCTCCTCCTCCTCTGCCTCCTCTTCCTCCTCTTCCTCCTCCTCCTCCTCCCGCTCCTCCTCCTTCCCCCAGAATCGAGTGTGTTTCTTCGTTTGTCCCCCGCCCCCCCCCCAACAAAAAGGCCGCGCCGCGTTTTTTGGTGCTTGGGGGGGGCAGGAAAAGAAGAAAGCTCGATTCTGGGGGGAAGGAGGAGGAGGAGGAGGAGGAGGAGGAGGAGGAGGAGGACGACGAGGAGGAGGAGGAGGAGGAGGAGGAGGAGAGAGAAGGATGGAGAGGAGGAGGAGAAGAGGGACAAAGAGGAAGGGGGGGAGGAGGAGGAGGAGGAGGAGGAGGAGGAGGAGGAGGGGAGGAGGAGGAGGAGGAGGAGGATAAGAAACAAGATGAAGAACGTTCGCAAACCCCATGAACAAACTATGCGAACACACTCTTCGAAAGGCGAGGTGCTCCACAACCCCCCGTTCCCGAGGAGGAAGAAGAGGAAGAGGAAGAGGAGGAGGAGGAGGAGGAGGAGGAGGCGAGGAGGAGGAGGAGGAGGAGGAGGTGGGGGAGCAGGAGGAGGAGGACGACGAGGAGGAGAAGGAGGAGGAGGACGAGGAAGAGGGGTAGGGGAGGAGGAGGAGCACGAGGAGGAGGAGGAGGGAGGAGGCGGAGGAGGAGGAGGACGAGGAGGAGGAGGAGGAGGAGGACCAGTGTAAACCCAAGGACCATCAACGATGGTGGTACAAACCCTCCCTCCGAGCTACCTCTTCACAGGACCCTACAACGGTTCATTTCCAGTGAGGGAACTGCATCGTTGGAGGACAACCGTTTGAAGATCTTGTAGCATACCAAAACATTGTGCTCGGGAGTTCAACGCCACGCATCAACCTGAATGCTGCGTCTTGACGATCCATAATCGTGCCAGAACGCAAATTTGGGACTTCAACACCGCGAATCGACATAACTGTTGCACCCGCATAATCCTGAATCCTTCCAAAACTCAGGTTCTGGTAATTGCGTTGATCATGGAAACCCGTGAAACGATTGCAATGTTTGAAAACCATGTGCGCGGCGCTGAAGCGAGAGCCACATCTTGGAGGAAAGAAGCCGTCCTCAATCCGTGAAACCCTTGCAAAGTTTTAAAACGAATGTGCACGGCGCTAAAGCGAGAGCCACATGTTGAAAACCACCCGCCCTCAATCCGCGAAACCCCTGCAAATGTGTGAAGCGAATGCGCGCGGCGCTAAGGCGAGAACCACATGTTGAAAACTCCCCGCCCTCAACCCGTGAAACTCTTGCAAAGTTTAAAAAAACGAATGCGCGCGGCGCTAAGGCGAGAGCAATTTTTGAAAACCACCCGCTCTCCAGCTGTGAAACTGTTGCCACTTCTTAAGCTTCAGAATCATAAACTGTGAGGAAGTCTCAGGCGAAATGCCCGGCCCGCCCTAAAAACGAGCCTCGGGGTGCGACAGGGAGAAGTTATCTATAAGGAGAAGGAATGGAGGAGGAGGAGGAGGAGGAGGAGGAGGAGGAGGAGGAGGAGGAGGAGGACAAGGAGGAGGATGAGAAGGAGGAGGACGAGGAGGACGAGGAGGAGGAGAAGCAGCAGGAGGAGGAGCAGGAGCAGGAGGACGGCGAGAGGGAGGGGGAGGGGGAGGGGGAGGAGGAGGGGGAGGAGCAGGAGGAGGGGGGGGGAAGGAGGAGGAGGAGGACGAGGAGGAGGAGGAGGAGGAGAAGGAGGAGGAGGAGGGCAAGCAGAATAAGGAGAGGGAAAGGGAGGGAGGGGAGTGGAAGTGAATGAGGGGCGACAGGGTGAGGGCGAGGGGGAAGGAGGAGGGGGGCAGGAGAATGAGGAGAGCCGAGGATTAGGAAGAATGATGAGAAGAATGAGACGAATCCCAAAACACAGAAACACACCAAAAACTCTGGTTGTCAGCGTGGACCCCAAGCGGTGAGGGCTTGCACTGTGGAAGCGGAAGTTATGTGGTGCACGCTACGTGCAAGCGACGCTCGCTGCAGGCAAAAGTGGTGCAACCTATGTGTGGTGCAGGCTACGTGATGTGTAAACTATGCGGTGAGAGGTATGCGGTGGCAGCTATGCAGTGGAAGCTCTGCGGCACAGGCAGCGCGGTGGAAACTGCGCGTTACAAGCAAAAACCTCGCGCAAGCAGCGCGAGGCACCCCCGAGGCGACCCTGGCCGCCCACCGAGCGACACCCCGGCAAGAAGCCCAGCGAGCGCACGGGGGCAGCCGCGGGGCGCCCACGCGGAGCCCACCGCGCGAAACCCCTCGGCTCACACCCCGGCCCGCGCGCGGGGCGCCCACGAGGCGCACAGGAGCCGCGTGGGCACGGCCGCCCGCCGTGCGACAAACCGGGGCAGACCCGGCCAGCTCGCGGGGCGCCCCCGGGGCGCACAGGAGCCGCCCGGCGGGCGAGACCTCGGCGGACCCAACCGGCGCCGGGGGCGGCCGAGAGGCGCCCACGGGCGAGGCCGCGGAGGAGCCACCCGCTCGCTGAAGCATCACAGTTGGTGCAGGCACCGCTCCGGGAGCGGCAAGCCACAACCCCATCAGTGCAAGCATCGCTGAGGAACGACAATCAATCCAGGCACCCCCGGCCACAATCCATAAGCGAACTAACCTATGGTCCCACTTTCCCGAGACGACAATCCCTCGTAAAGAAATAGTCCGCGCTCCCGTGGCCACGATGTCAAGCAAACAGCTGTGGGTTACTGCTCCCGAGGCCAGGATCCATCCGACAAAAAATTAGCCTGGCGAAAGACCCAACCATACGCAGTTGTGACTACCGCAATTGTGAATAACATCTTCGCCCGCGCTCCCGATGTGGCCACAACTTCCCGCCGGAGCCCGACATGCTCAGGGACACGTTCGTGGCCGTCTTCGCGGGCGCCGACGACGACGAGGACGGCGCCCCCCTGACCGAGGAGCAGAAGCAGGAGAGGGCTCTAAGAGCCATGAGGGAGGCTGCCACTGGGGCCTTCGGTGGAGCTCCTATGGGGCCACGATCCTCGTGAGGGGTGTGCCGAAATGGCCCGAGGCCGCCATGCGAACGCAGCCACTGGAGCCTTCGGTGGAGCTCCTATGGGGCCACGATCCTCGTGAGGGGTGTGCCGAAATGGCCCGAGCCGCCATGCGAACCCTGCCACTGGCGCCTTCGGTGGAGCTCCCTATGGGGCAACGATCTTCGTGAGGGGTGTGCCGAAATGGCCCGAGGCCGCCATACGAACCCTGCCATTGGCGCCTTCGGTGGAGGCCACGATCCTCGTGAGGGGTGCGCCACAATGGGGCGGGGCCGCCATGCGAACGCTGCCACTGGGGCCTTCAGTGGAGCTCCCTATGGTGCCACGATCCTCGTGAGGGGTGCGCCGAAATGGGGCGGGGCCGCCATGCGAACGCTGCCACTGGGGCCTTCGGTGGAGCTCCCTATGGGGCCACGATCCTCGTGAGGGGTGCGCCAAAATGGGGCGGGGCCGCCATGCGAACGCTGCCACTGGGGCCTTCGGTGGAGCTCCCTATGGGCCACGATCCTCATGAGGGGTGCGCCAAAAATGGGGCGGGGCCGCCATGCGAACGCTGCCACTGGGGCCTTCGGTGGAGCTCCCTATGGGGCCACGATCCTCGTGAGGGGTGCGCCGACATGGGGCGGGGCCGCCATGCGAACGCTGCCACTGGGGCCTTCGGTGGAGCTCCCTATGGGGCCACGATCCTCGTGAGGGATGCGCCAAAATGGGGCGGGGCCGCCATGCGAACGCTGCCACTGGGGCCTTCGGTGGAGCTCCCTGTGGAGCCACGATCCTCGTGAGGGGTGCGCCAAAATGGGGCGGGGCCGCCATGCGAACGCTGCCACTGGGGCCTTCGGTGGAGCTCCCTATGGGGCCACGATCCTCGTGAGGGGTGTGCCGAAATGGGGCGGGGCCGCCATGCGAACGCTGCCACTGGGGCCTTCGGTGGAGCTCCCTGTTGGGCCACGATCCTCATGAGGGGTGTGCCGAAATGGGGCGGGGCCGCCATGCGAACGCAGCCACTGGAGCCTTCAGTGGAGCTCCCTATGGGGCCACGAAACGCTGTACTGGGTGGGTGAAACGCAGGGAGGAGGGGGGAGGAGGGGGAGGAGGAGGAGAAGAGGAGACGCGGGCCACCGTCTCTTCAAAACGAGGACCCAACACCACAGGATGGTTGGGCAAAAAACTGTGAATCCGCGCTCCCGAGGCCATGACACCTCACACTGAAAAAAGGCCGCGATCCTGGGGCCACCACGCCTACCTAATGAAATACAATGGTTCTGCGCTCCCGGGGCCACGATCGACCAGTAGAAAACAATCGACCACGCTCCCGAGGCCAAGCCCCCAATTTGTTTTGTCCATATGTATATGTATATGTATATATATATATCATAAACAAAAAAGGATGGAGATCCGAATCCGCCAGCCGCCCACCCACCCAGCCTTCCAACCAGCCAACGAGCCTGCACCCTCAATCCTGCGAGCCAGCCCTTCGGCCAACCAACTAAATAGCCTGCCAACCTGCCAACCGTCCGTCCAAACAACGAGCCAGCCAGTCGAGTTGCCAGGCTGCCATCCAATCAGCCACTCAATTAACCAAGCCAATCGACTCACTCATGCAGGCATTCAGAAGTGGGGGCCGCGGCAGATGGCGAAACTCTTTAGATAATGAGAGTCTGAGAGGACGGAAAGATGAGAAGGATGGTAAATAAATGGTGTGATGACAACACGAGCACAAAGTATGTGAGCGTCACCAACGCACAATGCCACAAAGCCTTGCTTCTAGCCCTTCCACCAAACCATCAACCTTTCTCCATGTCGTAACGTCTTCCCGGTCTACATCCGTCTGGTTCCCTTCATCCCCCCATCATCCTGTCCAGTTGTTTCTTCACGCAGACGCGAACAGAACAAACGACTCATCAATCATCACGACAACCACCATAACATACTCATGGGAACAATCATCATCGTGAGCATCCTCAACAGCGTGAGCATTACCATTACAAACACCATCGCCATCAGCATTGCGACATGGGCACCATCGCCGACGTCAAAACAACACGCCTCCCGTCCCCTCCGCCTCACCAGCATTGTCGCCGGTAGATTCCTCATGCATTCCTCGTGCTCCTGTGTCCTCTTTCTGGTTGACCCTGCCGATGCTCCTGGTCAGGGCAACTCCTGGAGAGGCCGCCTTCTCCTCCTTCTGGATCATCTGGCGGTACTTGGCCAAGCCCTGCCCCCCGCGCTTCCGCCAGAGGCTGGCAAGAGTGTCACCCGAATCCGCACCTTGACCAGGACAGCCTCTTTTCTCAGGTGTTCCTCCTCATCATCACCCTCCTCGTCCTCCTCCCCCCCCTCCCCTCTACAATCCCCAATCCAACTCTCCGTCCGTTTCCGTGTTTTGTCATCGTCGTCGTCGTCCTCTTCGTAAGCCATAGCACCCTCCTGCGGGTAAGCGGCTGCGCTGCCAGAACAGCGGCGGCCCCAGAAAGCGCATGGGGGGTTGTTGAACTCCAGTTCCCAGATGAGTGGGCGAAGAAAGTGCAGGGGAAGACGAAGGGGAGGGGGAGGATCACTCCATTGGCCCTTCCCTTCTGCTGAAAGAAACCACTGCCTCTGCTTTGGCACCACTGCAAGGGCACACGAGAGCGAACACACTTGTTGACTGACTAGGAGGGAAGGGTGAGGAGGAAATTCCCCGATGTTTGAATCATCATGCCCTCGCGTTCGTGCCCACATCCGCCCCATCCTGCCCTCGAGCTGCTACGTCTGTCCTTCTGGGTCATAATATTATAAGCGGTATATTGTCATTCCTCGATCCCCTCCCCATGCATGCTGCACCTGCCCTGTCTACGCCCCATCTCTCCCCCACCTGCTGTCAAGACGCCTGCGCCTCTACCTCCTCCTAATGTCCCTCCTCCCCCTCATCCTCACATCCTCAGCTGATCTCGGATGTGCTAGAGTACGCTGCATAAGTAAGGATCAGACAACCCTCGACATGATGACCCTCAATAGTGGTTGACGCGCCACTTCAATGTCGCCCCTTTCACCCATTCGATGTCGCCCCCACTCGATGGCAAAGCAGCGCGAAACGCGGTCTGGATGGGTGCGACTCGGAAGCTCCACGATGACCGACATTGGAGAGGGGGGCGCCAACAAGTACCTTGCGCGCACGACAAGGAAACTGCGTGACACACACGTTTGAGGTTCATTTTGTCGAGCGCAGTAGGCAGGGCGATCGTCCAAACCACGGGCTCGCGTCCGCAGCGATAGTTGAACCACCCCAACAACCACCCCCCGACCCACCCCCCTGAACCCCCGCCTAGAGGCGCGGACGGGCGGGTCGGCAACACGTAAGCGCAACCCGTGGCAAGAGTGACACTTGGGGCGCGACTTTCAGGGGCAGCGGAAGCGCTCAAGCCGCTTCAACCTAGTGCCAGAAGAGCTCAGAATCGAATCGATCAGTCGGATCGGTGATCGAAATGAATCGGATCGGCCGAAATCGGCACCCGAGTCGGGTTAAGTCGAATCGGCGGAACTCAGCAGGCTAGTATGCCTCCAACGAGAAATCGAAACCCACACCGGCGTCCAAGGTCGAATCGAATCGGAATCGGAAGCCATCGAAACCGAATCGACTCGGATCGAGGAATCCAAACGAGCCCTGCGGTGCTGGGGCGACTCCCGTGGACCCGCACCAAGAAGGTCACCCCGGCGAAGGGTCATTACCCCTCCACCTCCTCCTCCTCCTCCTCCTCCTCCTCCTCCTCCTCCTCCTCGTCTCCTCCTCCTCCTCCTCCTCCTCCTCCTCCTCCTCCTCCTCCTCCTCCTCCTCCATTCCTCTCCCACGCGTGGCCGATCGGGGCGGGAGAGCCCCCCCCCCCCGCTCCCACCGTGGCTCTCGGCAGCCCTGCCCGCCCGCCTCGGGCAGAGGGGGCTGCTCGAGGGCCGAAGGGGGGGATAGACTCTGAGCCCGCCCGCAAAAACGTGTGGCCGAGTGCCGAGAGCAAACATCGGAGCAGGCGGTTTTGTTGCCGTTTTCGGCCCCGGGGGGCCCTCGCCGGGCGTCAAAAGACGGCTCGGGACGAGAGCCCCGCCCTGGGGATGGGGGCCCAGATCTCCGGGGCCCACGCGTCGGAGAGATCGGAGCACCGGGATGTCTGGGGATGGACCCCCAGCTCAAACTTAGCCTGGCGAAGAACCAAATCAGATGGCGCGGTTGTGGGTGTCCTCGTCGGTGGAGCTCCTGCTCCCTATGGGGCCACGAAGCGTGAGAGGGGTGTGCCCAAACGGGTGCGGCGGTGCCATGCGAGAGCAGGCACTGGGGCCTTCGTGAAGCTCCAGATGGGGCCACGAACTATGCGAGGGTGTGCCGAAACGGCTGTGGCGGTGCCATGCGAACGCAGCCACTTGGGCACTTGGGCCCTCGGTGGAGCTCCCCACAATCAGAATTGTTAGTAAGGATGCGTGATACGGATGCAAGCACCTTGGACGCCCATGTCGAAGGTTTTCGAGCGGGTAGGGCCATCGAAAGAAGTTAAGGATGGACCGAGGAGGCAAGGATGCAAGGGTACCCGTGGGAATGTTACCCATCCTTACTATCGAATTCGACAATATATGGCCACGGAATGTGTGAGGGGTGTGCACAAACGGGTGCGGCGGTGCCATGCGAAAGCAGCCACTGGGGCCGTTGGTGAAGCTCCCGATGGCCTATGGGGCCACAAAACATGTGAGGCGTGCGCCGCAATGGGCGCGGCGGTGCCATGCGAACGCAGCCACTTGGGGCAGAAATGGGCGCGGCGGTGCCATGCGTGAGCAGCCACTGAGGCCTTCGGTGGAGCTCCGGATGGGGCCACGAAACGAGTGAGGGGTGTGCCCAACTGGGTGTGGCGATGCCATGCGAACGCCACCACTGGGGCCTTCGGCCTACGGGGCCACAGAACGTGCGAGGGAGTGCAGGAACGGGTGCGGCGGTACCATGCGAACGCAGCCACTGGGGCCTTCGGTGGAGCTCCACATGGGGCCACGAAAACGTGTGATGGGTGTGCCGAAACGCCTTTGATGGATCTCCTCGTGGGGTCACAAAACATGTGAGGCGTGTGCCGCAATGGGCGCGGCGGTGCCATGCGAACGCAGCCACTGGGGCCTTCGGTGGGAGGCCTGATGGGACCACAAAACGTGTGAGGGGTGGGCCGACATGAACGCGGCGGTGCCATGCGAACACTGCCACTGGAGCCGTCGATAGAGCTCCGTATGAAGCCACGGATCGTGTGAGGGGTGTGCCGAAATGGACATGCGGAGGGCAGAGGCAATGATCAAGGATGGGCGGATGGAGGAGGGCAACGCAGGGAGGGAACGAAGGAAGGAAGGAAGGCGACAGGGGGGCGCTGTCTCTTCAAAGCGAAAAACTAACATCACAGAATGGTTTCGGAATCAACCAGAACTGCTCATGCTGGCACTAAACTGGCGCTAGTGAGCCACGTCTGGCACTGGCACCGTTGGTGGAGCCCCACATGGCCTGCAGGGACACGAAACGTGAGAGAAGTGTGCCGAAATGAAGCTCCGCCGCCATGCGACCCCTGGCAGTTGGGCCATAACTGGAGCCCCACATGCGGCCACGAAACGTGTGAGGGGTGTGCCGAAAGGAAGCACCACCGCCATGCAGACCACAGCATGTGGGCCCTCGCTGGAGCCTCCGCATGGAGCCGCGGAACGTGTGAGGCGTGTGCCGACATGAAGCACCGCCGCCATGCGGATCCTGGCATGTGGGCATTCGGTGGAGCTCCCTGCGGGGCCACGAAACGTCTGAGGGTGTGCCGAAATGAGGCGCAGACGCCATGCGGACCCTGGCATATGGGCCTTGGCTGGAGCCCCCTTACGTATGGAGCCACGAAACGTCTGAGGGTGTCCCGAAATGACGCACCGCCGCCATGCGGACCCTGGCATGTGGGCCTTGGCTTTGGCTGAAGCCCCTTTATGAAGCCACGAAACATGTGAGGGGTGTGCCGAAATGAAGCACCGACGACATGCGGACCCTGGCATGTGGGCCTCGGCTGGGGCCCCTTGAATTGGGTCACGGAACGTGTGAGGGGTGTGCCGACATAAGGCACCGCCGTCATGCGGAACATGGCACTTGGGCCTTAGTTGGAGCCCCCGATAGGGGCCACGACGCGCGTGAGGGGTGCGCTGAAATGAGGCACCGACGCCATGCGGACCCTGGCATGTGGGCCCTGGCTGGAGCTCCCGTTTGGGCCACGAAACGTGCGAGTTGTGTACGAGAATGGACATAGGAGAGCTGAGGCAGGGGCGCGATGCCGATGCCGATGCCGATGATGATGATGCTGATGATGATGATGATGATGATGATGATGATGATGATGATGAGGTTGATGATGATGATGATGATGACGATGATGATGATGATGCCGATGATGATGATGATGATGATGATGATGATGATGATGATGATGATGATGGTGATGATGACTACGATGACGATGCGGACGTGCGGAGGGCAGAGACAGAGATGGGAGGAGGGGGGAGGAGGCGGAGACGCGGGGCGCTGCTAATTCGAAACGAGGACCCAACTCAACACAGGATGGTTGGGACAAACACTTGTAGAGATTATGAGGCGGTGCCTTGGAACGGGAGGGTGTATTGCAGCGTCGTTGATGCATCCTCACCATGATCATCCAAAGCACCATCGCATTCACCATCACCATAACCGTAACCCTCATCATCACCACCGTCATCGGAACCACCAGCACCACCATCACATCCATCACCATCATCAACACCACCATCACCACCATCACCACCATCACCACTACCACCACCATCGACATCATCCACCACGCTGTTCCTCCTCCTCCTCCTCATCCTCCTCCTCCTCCTCCTCCTCCTCCTCCTCTTCCTCCTCATCGTCCTCCTCATCCACCACGCTCTCCTCCTCCTCCTCCTCCCTCCTCCTCCTCCTCCTCCTCCTCCTCCTCTCCTCCTCCTCCTCCTCCTCCCTCTCCTCCTCCTCCTCCCGGCCACCCCAGAGCGCCCCTGTCTGGACGAAGCTGTGCCGGTCCTCTGCGCGCGCGCACGCTGAGCCGGAGGCATCGGACTTGCAGGGAGATGCCCACGCCATCCCTTCCAGTGCAAGCCGAGATGCACTCACAATCTCAAAGCAACGCACAGCCCAAGTCGAGCCACCGAGTAGAGATTGACACAAACACTGATCGATAGCTCGGCTTGGGCTGCACATTGCTTCGATGTTGTCAGTGTACCGTGGTTTGGTGCCCACACGCCCATGTATCCCCCGCTTGGAACGAGACAGATGAACCTGAGGAGGAGGAGGAGGAGGAGGAGGAGGAGGAGGAGCAGAAAGAGGAGGAGGAGGAGAAGGAGGAGGAGGAGAAGGAGGAGGAGGAGGAGGGGGAGGAGGAGGAGGAGGAGGAGGAGGAGGGAAGAGGGATTTGGCCACCACCTCGACTCCACTTCCTCTTCTCGTCCTCCTCTCCTCCCTCCTCCTCCTCCTCCTCCTCCTCCTCCTCCACATCCGCCCTCGTCCCACCTCATTATTCTCCCTCCTTCTCCTCCTCCTCCTCGCCCCCACAGGTCCTCCCCTATCCGATCATTCATCCAATCTATCCGCTGCTTCTTCTCCTGCTCCTCCTCCTTCTCCTCTTCCTCCACCATCCTTCCCCTCATCCGCATCCTAGTCCTCACCCCCCCCGTTCATTCTCCTCCCTCCTCCTACAGCAACCCATGCATACTCGTCCTCCTCCCGCTCCCTCCTCCTCCTACTGCTCCTCCTCCCCCCCCTCCTCCTCCCGTCCCTCTCCTCCTGGAGGAGGAGCAGGAGCAGGATGAGAAGCCCGGGGAGGATCGATGAGCTCTTAGGACCCCGCGTTCGCGCAGAGGCACAAATAAAGGAGGAGAGGGAGGAGGAGGAGGAGGAGGAGGAGGAGGAGGAGGAGAAGGAGGAGGAGGAAGAGGAGGAGGAGGAGGAGGAGGAGGAGGAGGAGAAGAAGAAGAGGGAAAGGGAGGAGGAGGAGGAGGAGGAGGACGAGAAGGAGGGGAGGAGGAGTAGCAGGAGGAGGAGAAGGAGGAGGCAGAGCCGCCGGCATCTCAACAAGGGAGGGCGAGAGAAGAAGGAGGAGGCGGAGGAGGAGGAGGAGGAGGAGGAGGAGGAGGAGGAAGGGGAGGAGGAGGAGGAGGAGGAGGAGGAGGAGGAGGAGGAGGAGGAGGAGGAGGAGCGGGAGGCAGGAGCTGGGAGGAGGAGGAGGAGGAGGAGGAGGAGCATTGGCAGCAGGAGGAGGAGCAGGGGGGTGAGGAGGTGCTCCTCCTGCCCCCCCTTCCAAGCCTTCCCTCCCTCATGCTCATCCTGCTCATCCATCCTGCGCGGATGCCACCACACGATCGGCACTCGTCTCACCGAACATGAGCTGCAATCTATGTATTGTCATGACCAGCATTCGAGTGATGCCCCCCCTCCCCTCCACGCCTCCTCTCCCTCCTCCCTCCTCCTCCTCCTCCTCCTCCCCCCGCCTTCCATCTACCCCTCTCCCTCCTCCTCCCTCCTCCTCTCCTCCTCCTCCTCCTCCTCCTCCTCCTCCTCCTCCTCCTCCTCCTCCTCCTCCTCCTCCTCCTCCTCCCTCTCCTCCTCCCCTCGCCTCGCCTCCCCACCCATCCCCATCCTCTCATCCCCCTGTTCCTATCTCCGCGCATCGCACGGGAGGAGGGCACGCGCGGCGCGTCAGACAGGGAAGATCGCGCCTGCCAACGAACCCAGGCCGAGCGATGCCTGGTTGCGTGCTGGGCTGGCCATCCTCTCGGGTGTCCGCACATGCTGCTGGTCAAGTTCTGAGCCCCGCTTCGAACTGCGAGAGGCACCGAAGAGAGGAGGCGAAGGATCAAGGAGACTGGGAAGTATGCTGGGTGTGAGGACGACGAGGAGCAGTTTTCCTGTCGGGCTCTCGTAGGGATGCGAGCAGTGCGTTGTGAGTTCGATCGAAGTCAACCTCAAAACGTCACAACGGCACGGCGAAGCCTTAAAGCCAATGTGCACCAAAGCTGGCCGAAACCGACAGCGGTGTGACGTGTGCTTCTTGAGCTCCCAAAGCAGCTGCCGACGCAGGTAATTGCATGACGAACCGTGTCAGGCGAGAACAGGGGCGAAGAAGAGGTCGAGGACAAGACTGTACAGCATGCGGCGGAGAAGAACAGGGGACGAGAACGAGGAGGAGCAGCAGGACGCGTGTCCTTCTCCTTGTCGCTGGCACCGCCCTCCTCGTCTGAGATGTCTTCCACGAACTCTTTGTTCCTCCTCAAGGTGAGGCCCTCGCGCCAGGGGGGAGACAGAGAGGTCGCAGAGAAGGCAAGGAGGCATGGGCCCCAGCTCACCCCTCCTCCGCCTCCTCCTCATCATCATTATCATCAACAGCATTATCAGCATCGGCATCAGCATCAACAACATCAGCATCATCAGCAGCAGCAGCATCATCATCGCCATCATCATCAGCATCACCATCATCATCGTCATCAGCATCAGCATCAGCATCAGCATCAGCATCAGCATCAGCATCAGCATCAGCATCAGCATCAGCAGCAGCATCATCATCATCATCATCATCATCATCATCATCATCATCAGCATCAGCATCAGCATCAGCATCAGCATCATCATCATCATCATCATCATCATCATCATCATCATCATCATCATCATCATCATCATCATCATCATCATCATCATCATCATCCGTACTCGCCATCTCCCCACATCCTCCTCCTCCTCCTCCTCCTCCTCCTCCTCCAGATGGGGAGGAGGATCAAGAGCCAACGACATGACAGACCGACAGTGGGTCCTTCTGAGCCCCCACAGGGTCCTTATCCTAGCGTTTTCACCGCACGCCCGTCCGCTCCCGCTCCACCCTGGAGGCGCCCAGGGGGTCTGATCTGGACGAACTCCTCATTATCCTCCCCCTCCTCCTCCTCCTCCTCCTCCTCCTCCTCCTCTCCTCCTCCTCCCTCCTCCTCGTCCTCCTCCTCCTCCTGCTCCTCCTGCTCCTCCTCCTCCTCCTCCTCCTCCTCCTCCTCCTCCTCCTCCTCCCCTCCTCCTCCTCTCCTCCTCCTCCCCTCCTCCTCCTCCTCCTCCTCCTCCTCCTCCTCCTCCTCCTCCTCCTCGTCTTCAGTGTCGGCGGCACCGCCCGTAAGGCCTTCACAATCGGTCAAGACCAAGAACATGAGACCCTCCGCCAGCCAAGAACAAAAAACATTCGAGGGTACCATCCCCCAGGATGCAGAAGAACAGCCAATAAGCACGAGAACATTAGGGCACTCTCCCCGAACCGACCTCGATCTCATACCTCGGGCCGACTGTCAGGGCCAAACCGCTCAAAAAGCCGGTCCGCGGGCCCCTCGCGGGGTCAATCCGGTGCAGCTTTTCACCCTGGAGCCGTTTCTGACGGCCCGGGGGGCCAGAAGACGGACCCCAGAGACCGACAAAAACAAAAAGCCGCCTCGAACCCAGAATCTGGAACCTCGTCCCACCCCGTCCTGCTCGCCTGAACCGATGCTGGGCCACCTCGGACGATAAACAATAAGAGTACCCCTCATCGTTTGGGAGGGGACCCACAAAGTTAGGAGGACCAGCAATATTGGGGAGAGGGGGTCATTTTCTGCAAATGCATGAGACGAAACCAACCATGTGTTTAGGGATATCCCTGAGCACCGTGGACCTAAGCTAGGCCACGATGTGTTAAGGTTAGGGGCTATACTACGCTCAATGATCAGACCCCCAGCCGGCTCCAAGCTCCACGTCTTCCCTTTGTTTCTGAGCATCGTTCAACCGATCCCCATCCCCACTGGCGTGGCCTGGGCCTCACTGGCCGAAGTATCCCCCTAGATGAGGATATAGGCTGTTCCCTTCGGGTTTCGGGGGGGGCATCCTCAACTTGGGTGGTACGCTGGCGGGGCTGAGATACCATGACCTATTGGGGATACAGTGGAGGCCAGTCCACAAGAAACCTTCCACAAGAAACCCGACCCTGAGACCCCAGGACGTCCATCGATTTTGGTGTGGGAACGCTACGCTCTCCATCGCAAAAACATCGAAACCCAAGAAACCCAGTGCACCCTGGAGGCAAGCAGGGTGTTTCTTGGCATGGGTCCCCGCTGGAAGCGATACTGATTTTCAGCGGAAGGGCGGCGAGCATCTGAGGACGCGCCCGGACGCCCCAGGCCGAGGAACGGCGGTGGGCGTGCTGCAGGGCGCGCGCGCGTGGAGGCGCGGGATCAACAGCACAAAACAAAGCAAGCCACGCGCCATGGACGCGAACGACGGCAGCAGGCACGGAAGGAGGGAGAGGAGAGAAGGGAGGAAGGAGGAGGAAAGAGCAACATAAAAGAAACACAACGGAGAGTTGAGGCGAAACCAGGAGAACAAAAGCAAACAGCACACAAAAAACAAAAAAACAAAGAACAGATACAAGGCAACAAAACAAACATATGACAGTGTCGACGTAGGTAACCGAAGCCAGCGAAACAAAAGACAAGACAACAAAAGCAAAGCAAAACGACGGAGATTCGAACTCCGCCTCACCTGCGTGAATCTAGGTGTGCCTCGCCAGGAAAAAACGTCGAGGATAAGGGTTGAGGGGCAACGATAGGGGGGGACTGGCATAGAGGGGGAATGCATCGACCAGGAATCAGCGATACATCGCCGATGGATCGTCGATAGGCCTCCGATAGTGAATCCGCACCTTCCTGGGCAGATTGGGGCTATCGGGCCCATATCGGCGATCAATGGGCGATTGGGGGTCGATGCATCCCCCCTATGCCTATCCCCCCCTATCGTTGCCCTCGAAGGGTGCCTGCGTTCAAACTCCGGGAGGCCTCCGGAGGGGCCTCCGTGGAGGGGCCTCCGCAGGGGGGCCTGCGTTGAAGCCGTGCGAGCGGGCGAGACGTGGCGTTCGGGCCCAGGGACCCCCACAAGGCAGAAGAAGGGCAAGACCACTCCACCGGGGCTGAGCCTAAACAGTGTTTTGTGTTCTTGTTTTCGTCTTAAATGTTTGAGCGAAAACGCCGGCCGGCGTCGCGCGGGTCGTTCTTGAGTGACTCCACATCACATCGGGAAATCGGATCGGATCGGAATGTGTATCGGATCGGGCTGCAGGAGAGCCTAGAATCGAATCGACAAGTCGGATCGGCGATCGGCATGAATCGGATCGGCGGAGATCGGCAGCCAAGTCGGGAGGAGTCGCATCGGCGGAAATCGGCAGAACAATGGAACCCAAATCGGAATCCGAAGCCGAACCGAATCGGAATCTGGGGAGCCCACAAGGTACCCGTACCGCTACTGCCCGGACCTCTCCCGGGGTGCGTTCTGACCAGAACTTCGAGGCGAATCCAGCGGTGGCAACGAGGACCTCCGAGGAGGCCCAAAACGACGAAAACAAGGGAAGGGTAGCGGTATGGGTACCTTCTCCTCCTCCGAGATCGGAGTCCATCAAAATCAAATCGAATCGAATCGGAGGAATCGAAATGAGCCCTGGGGCTGCAGCGGCATGGAATCGAGGTCGAAGCGGGCCCGCCACGCCAGGCTGCACGGACAGCAGCGCAACTTGCGAGCACCAGACCGCAGCGGGTCTCTTCGGAAGATCGCACTCGCATCGGAGCGGAACGCCCGACATCGGTACGGTGAGGGCATTGGATAAGGAACCATTGCATAAGAAAGCCAGGGTCTGGAAGCTGGTGGAACACCAATCGTGGATTGGCCATGGATATGATATGACTGCCGACCTCATCAGATAAGGAGTCCTCCAGGGTCTGAAGCCCCCCGAGCACATTCCTTCACGAACGCCCCCACCGTATCGAATCGAATCGATGGGATCTTCAAGCAGGAGCAGTGGGTCTGACTCGCATGGGCTCGCGGGGAAAGGTGCAACGGTATCTGCAATCTTAGGCGCCCAGACGCAACAGCTTGCGCCGCTGGATGCGGCAGTTGCGCGTGGATGTGATCGTGCGGTCTTTTGCACAGGCAACCGATGCCTCCCGCGCAATTGTTCGTGCCCCTCTGCGATCGTTGCGTGCGCACCAGCGCACGCAATAGTACACAATCAATGAGCGATCGCACCTCTGACCGCCGACCCATCTGCACCAGAGCCACCACTCCAGCTTGGAGGATCGAACTGGACCCTGGAAGGGGGGCACGCTCGGCTACATGCAAGAGGGACCCTGGGCAAGAGTGACATCCGGTGCGCAGCTTTCAAGGGGGGGCGCTGGGAGGGGGGGTCAAACCCGAGCGCGCCAGACGCTGCTGTCGGAATCTCGTTCGGCCATCAAATTAGGGACCCGGGACCCCGTTGTGCCCGCAACAGAGCTCACTGCGGCGAAGGGTCTCTCCGACGTGTAGCCCACACGTGCGGGCGGGCACCCGGTGCCTGGAGGTCGCCCGTCACCCAGCGCGTCCAGGCCTCCGGGTCGAACTCCTGCCGCAGGGCGGGCGCGGCGGGGCCGTGAGAGGAGGAGGAGGAGGAGGAGGAGGAGGAGGAGGAGGAGGATAGAGGGGTAAAAACCTGCATTAACATTGAGGTCCTCCTCCTCCCTCCTCCTCCTCTCCCTCCTCCCTCCTCTCTCCTCCTCCTCCTCCCTCCTCCTCCCTCCTCCCTCCTCCCTCCTTCCTCCCTCCTTCCTCCCTCCTCCTCCTCCTCCTCCTCCTTCTCCTCCTCCTTCAGCTGGTCCTTCCTCCTCCCTCCTCCTCGTGCCTCCTCCCTCCTCCCCATTCCCTCCCGCGCCCCCGGGCTCCATCAGCGAGAGCCCCAGGCCGAAGGTGGAGATCATGCCTCGGCGCGCCCCCCCGCCGACAGGCGGCGAACCCGGCCCCGAGTCCCCGCGTCGTCGTCGGCGTCGGCGGCGGAGTCCAGACATGCTCGCGCCGTGACAGAAATTAGGGCGGGCAGTGCTCTTGGCCACTTTCAGCCCCTGGGGGCCCTCGCGGGGCCTCGGGACCGTCGAACAACGGCGCAGGACGAAAAAACCAGTCCCAGGGAAAGGGTCGGAACATCCAGGAGGGGGGGGGGATGGGAGAGGCGAGGCGGAGCGAGGCGCCGACATACGTCCAGAAGGACGGCCCTGTGAGAGCACGGCGGTTGGGCCAGAGCCCGGGATGCACTTTGGATCCCTGCGTGACTCATGAGCGTGAACCTGGCGAAGGAGGCGGGAGGGCGACGACGACGACGAGGAATAAGAACGAGAACAATTCGGCAAAAGACCTACACTCCGGAAGAGGCTGGCCAAATGCCAACGCGTACGTGTCGGCATGCATACGGAGAGGCGGACGAGGGCATTACTCGACGAGTGGGGCTGCATGCCGAAAGATATGCGTACACTGACTAGGCTAAGACCGTCACTGGATCGGTGAAATGTGTGATGCTGTCCTGTCAGCTATGCAGGCTGGTGCGCACAAGCGATGCTGCAACATGCACGCGAGTGGCGGAGCGAGGCTGCGTGTGAGAGAGGGGGGGGCGCGGGGATCCAGAGACCTTCAGGAGGGGGAGGGAGGAGGAGGAGGAGGAGGAGAAGGAGGAGGAATGGGAGGAGGAATAGGAGGAGGAAGTAGACGAGCTTGTTTTGTTTTCGGTGCCTCCTGGGGCCGCTTTCGGGCCCCAGCATTATAAAAAACGGATCTGGGGTGAAAAACTGCACCAGATGAACCCCTGCAGGGGTCTGGTAACCGATCTTGAGCGGATTTCGAATAGGAGGAGGCGGAGGAGGAGGAGGAGAATGAGGAGGAGGACCAGAACCCAGACCCCCTCGGTTCATGAAAAAAACCTGACGGGAGACTTTTCAGTATTTTCAGCCTCTGGGGGCCCTTACCATGCCCCTGGGCTGTCAAAAGAAAAGACTCAGGCTGGAAAGGCGGTCCTCGGTAAAGGGCCCAGATCTCTGGGAGCTGACATATTTGTTTTGCTTGCTGCTTCTTTTTCTTACAACAAAATTGGGAAGACCAAAAGGTACCGATACCGCTGCTCCCCGGATCTCTCCCGGGGTGCGTTCTGACCAGGGTTTCGAAGCGAATCCAGCGGTGGCGACGAGGGCCTCCCAGGAGGCCCAAAAAGGGGAAAGCGAGGGAAGGGTAGAGGTCTTGGTACGCTTTCCCCCTTCTGAAAGATGGCGTCGGGGATCTGCGGGAGGAGGCGACGCGAAGCCAAGCGAACGCCGGAGTCGCCTGCGCTCCTCCTGGGAGCCCGCACCTGCCCCACCGAGGCATGGCGCGGAGGCGGCGGGCCGCTCTCAAGCCGTCGGCCCCGCCCTGCCGGACCTCCGTGCGGGCCCCCATCGGCGCCCGAGCTCCGAGCACCCCGGGAGCTGCAGGCACGGGGCGCGAGGGCGACGGCGGATCCGAGGTGCGGATCTTCAGAGCCCCCTCGCGTCCCTGCGAAGCCGCACGCTCGCTTCGGCGCCACCCCCGCTGTCGTCTCAGGTCGGGCACGTCCCTCTAGAGGAGGGATGCTCGAAAATTAGATACATACACATATATAGATATATCTATATATCTATATATCTATATATATATATATATATATATATATATAAATACTAGAACCTTCGCGCGCGCTTCGCGCGCGCTTAGGTTCTAGCCAACCCCAGCCTTGGACAAGGTCAAAGCTGCACGTATGGAAGGCCCGCAGATCGTGCGAACATGAGTTCAGGAAGTGGCAAGCACGCGACCAGACCAAAGACGTTATATGTATGCATGCATGTATGCTTGTATCCATATATATACATACATACATATGTGTATACATATATATATATGTATATATACATGCATACGTGCGTGTATATGAACATGCACACATACATACATCCATGCATACATGGATGCATGCATGAATACACGCGGACAACAAACACATACATACGTTCATACATGCATACGCTGGAAAGAGAGGCGGCAACGTGCTCCGGCAGCGCGTTTCCGGAGCATGTTGTGCGAGAGGCGTCGTACCAAAATACGCCCAGAGTGGCCGGCTGACGGCCCAAGAACTTTTGGAGACCGCTTCTGAGGGGATCTCCTGGGAGCGCCTTGGGGGCCTCTGGGCGGCCTTGTGGGGCCTCCTGGCGGCCTCTTGAGGTAGAAGGCTGGAGCTTTGGGTGCACGGTTGTCCACTGAAGTCTTCATTAGGCACCGAACGCTGGAAGGAGGGGCGGCAACGTGCTCCGGCAGCGCGTTTCCGGAGCATGTTTGGGGGACCTCGGTAGGCAGTTTTGAAACCTCTCGGAAGCCGTTTTGGGGCCTCTTTTTGGACCTCTTGGGGGCCTCTTAGTGGCCTTCTGAACTGTCTTCGGGGCCTCTGGGGGCTTCCTGGGGGCATCTTGGGGCGGAGAGCTCGACTGTTCGGTGCGTGTTCCCTCTCTTGGGCCGCTCTTGGCGCCTTCTTGGGGCTCTCCTGGGCTGTCTTGGGCGGGCCTGGGGACAGTCTTAAGGCTCTCTTGGGCCGTCTTCGGCCTATCTTGGGGGTCTCTTGGGCTGTCTTGGAGCGGTCTGGGGAGCTTCTGGGCCGGTCTAGGAGCGTCGGAAAGCCGAAACAGCGAGGAAGCGAAAAACATACAAAAAACACATGAAAATGAACTATTTTCGCCTCTCTGGCCGCTCGTCGGCGGCATCTTCACGCCTCTTGGGGCGTCTTGGGGGACGTCCTCGGCAGCTTCAGACGCATCGTGGGCCCCTGGAGACACCTGCAGGCGGTCTTGGGAGCGTCTCGAGAACGTCTGGGGCCGCCGGGACGGCTGTCCGAGGGCTCCTGCGGCCTTCTACGGGCCCTCTTCGGCCGTCTTGGGCGGGTCTGGGGTGGGGGCAGTCTTGGGGCTCTCTTGGGCCGTTTAGGAGCTCTGTTGGAGGCTCCTGGGCCGTCTTGGAGCGGTCTGGGGAGCTTCTGCGGCGGTCTTGGAGCGTCGGGAAATCAACACAGCGAGGAAAAACAAACATTGAAAATACTCATGAAAATCAACGATTTTCGCCTCTCTGGCCGCTCGTCGGCGGCATCTTCACGCCTCTTGGGGCGTCTGGGGGACGTCCTCGGCAGCCCAAGACGCATCGCGGGCCGCTGGAGACACCTGGAGGCGGTCTTCGGGGCGTCTCGAAACCGTCTGGGGCCGCCAGGACGGCTGTCCGAGGGCTCCTGGAGCCTTCTTGGGCTCTCTTGGGCCGTCTTGGGCGAGTCTGGGGGCAATCTTGGGGCTCTCTTGGGCCGTCTTGGGGCTCTCTTGGGAGCCTCTGGGGCCGTCTTCGAGCGGTCTCGGGAGCCTCTTGGGCGGTCTTGGAGCGTCGGAAAGCCGAAACAAGGAGAATGCCAAAACCATTGGAACAAAAACAATGAAAATCAGCGATTTGGGCCTCTCGGGACTCGGGCCGCTCTAGGGCGGCATCTTGAAGCGTCTTGGGACGTCGCGGGGGGGCCTCCTGGGCAGTTTAAAACGTAGCGTGGGCGGATGGAGACGCCTGGAGGCGGTCTGGGGAACGTCTCGAGACCGTCCAGGGCTGCCGGGACGGCTGCCTGAGGGCTCCCGACGGCGATTTCAGCCCTCTCAAAGGCGGCCCGGGCCCCGGGCTCCACATGCGTGGTCGAGGCTCGGGCCCCCGGGAGCGTCCTGGAGCCCCGTGGCCCCCATGGGGGTCCGAGGCACCAATCTGGCGGCCCCAGGTCTTGTTCCCCGGTACATATATATATATATATATATATATATATATATATATGTATATATATACATACATACATACATACATACATACATACATACATACATACACACACACATACATACATACATACATTACATTACATTACATTACATTACATTACATTACAATACATTACATTACGTTACGTTACATTACATTACATTACATTACATTACATTACATTACATGACATGACATTACATTACATTACATTACATTACATTACATTACATTTCCATTACATTACATTACATTACATTACATACATACATACATACATATATGCTTTAACCATGAAAAACTCTGGGGACGAGTGTTTGACATGTTGTTGCTATGTGTGAATATTGTTTAATATGATTGGCATTGTTTGATGTTTGACATCTGTTATGTTTGCATACGTGTTGGCATATGTTTCATTTTTCGTCCAAAATCCGCCTGTAGGGGGGCACGCCCGACCTCACGCAAGAGGGGCGCCGCGAGGACGCCCTCCAATGGCGGCGCGCGCGGGGGGGGCAGCGAGAACCGGAGGCGCGCAGACATGGGTTCGCGATCCGTGGATCTGGCGCGCGGTCGCCAAATCCATGGATCGGGAGAGGCACCCTCCCCAAAATGCGGCCGATGCCACCTCGCTCGGCGGCGGAAATCCGCGACTTCCCATGGAAACGGGACCCGTCGCTAATCCACGCCCCTTTGATCCATGTTTGCGATCGCCTGAGAGAAGGAGCGGGCCTTCTCAGAAGGCTCGGACGTCCCCCAGCCTCCTGAGAAGTTGTCTAAGCCTTTCCCGAAGACACGGGAAAACTGCTCAGAAGGCGCGAGGGGCGTCTGAGAAGTCCCGCCGCCTTCCGAGAATGCCCTCTCCTTCTCACTTCCCCCCCTCGCTCGCCGCATAGTTAAGGCGCTATCGGGACGCCAGGAGCCTGGAAAGACTGGACCTGCATTGCAATGCAGGCTCCCATGCATCGCATGCTGCGGTCGGGAGCGTTTGCTCAGCGTGTCGCGGCGGCGACCCCAGCGACAGGCCATGCCTTGCAAGCGAATAATTGGCGTGTCACCCCGCTCCGCGGGGCGGGAGGCTCTGAAAGGCTCAGGACGTTGAAGCTTCTGAGGACTCGGAAGTGGATGGCGAGTCGCGCCGAAGCGTGGTAGGCCCGTAGGCCAGCACTGGCGGCGCCACACGTCAATCCGCTCCTGACCGCAGACGACACGAACACCACGATGCGCCGATACCAATCTGCCGAATGCTCGCCGGGGCAGTGATCGCTCGGGCACTCGAGGCACCACATCAATAAATCTACGAGGGGCATCGCGCCATTTTGAGACCGGCATCGGCTAGAGACTGGCCAGCGGAGGCGCTTTTCTTCCCCGTCCGCGGGCGGCTACATCACGCTGCGCACGCCCCTGGTGGCCCTGCCAGCCTGTGGCCGAAAGAGGGCTCTGCGGTCATGGTCGGCATCCCTGGTCCCCCGAGGAGCTCCAGGATTGGAAACGCGCCTGCACTGCGCCTCGGCGCTTTGGCGCCCCCTCCAGGAAGTCCAAGACGCAGTGGAGACGAATATGAATCTTGCATGCACTTCACACCGAAACGTCTGGCCTCGAAGAGCCCCTCTCGTTTTCCGCGCGCCGCCGGGAAATCGAGCACCACCCAGCGAGCCACACCGCGAGCCAGCCGCATATGAGCGCGGCGTCGAGGTAGAAGCACCGCCTTGACGACGACGACAACGGCGGCGGCGACGACGGCGACGGGGTCTCGGGCGACGAAGAGAACAACGACGAGGACGCCGACAACGACGACGACGACGACGACGACGACGACGACGACGACGACGACAGCGACGACGGCCACCGCGACGGCGATGGCGACGGCGACGGCGACGGCGACGACGACGGCGACGGCGACGGCGACGGTGACCGGCTTTTCATCCTGAATATGTTTTTACGGTCCTGGGGACTGGCGAGGGCCTCCAGAGGCCACAAACGGCGACAAACCTCCGTCCTGCTTCTTCGACACGCTGGACCCCCGGGGAGGAAGAGGCGGGGAGGAGGAGGTGGGGAGGACAAGGGAGGAGGAGAAGGAGGAGGAGGCGGAAGAGGAGGAGGGGGAGTGGGATGGGGAGGGGGAGGGGGAGGGGGAGGCGGGGATGAGGAGGAGGAGGAGGAGGAGGAGGAGGAGGAGGAGCAGGAGCAGGAGGAGGAGGAGGAGGAGGAGGAGCAGAAGGAGGAGGAGGAGGAGGAGGAGGAGAGGAGGAGGACGACGAGGAGGAGGAGGAGGAGGAGGAGAGGAGAGCGGGGGCGCCGCGATGGCGAGGGCACGCGCCTGAACCCGAGGCCCTGGGGCGGCCGTTGGACCAGCGCTCCCCAGGCGAAGGAGCCGACCGCGAACGAGATGTAATCCTGCCAGACCCCTGCCTGCCAAGGGGCGATGGAGCGCGTGAGATCTTGGAATGCCGTAATGCTGCATTTGGGCTCAACCCGCTATGCCACCAAAGGCAAGAGTCCCAGACAGCCACCACAGACACGCCACAGGCCCAGGCCGAGCGCTCACGACGAAACTCATCATCAACACCAGCATCATCATCATCAGCAGCAGCAGCATCATCATCACCATCATCACCAGCATCAGCATCCTCAGCATCAGCATCAGCATCAGCATCAGCATCAGCATCAGCATCAGCATCAGCACATCATCATCATCATCATCAGCAGCAGCAGCAGCAGCATCAACACATTCGTCGTCGTAACAGACAACACGTGACGGGACCAGACGGGCAGATCGGTAAGGTAGACCCTAACGGGCTGGTTGCGAAGGCGGGCCTAGACGGCCAGGTCGAGCAGGCGGGTTGCCAAAGCGTGCGTCCTGCATGAGTCGCGAGGAAGTCTCGAGCGATAGCGCGATTCTCTAATACATCTTGAAGAAATCCACAGCGAGAGCGTGGTTCCTGAGTCTCGAGGGCGTGGCGTCTGGATTAACTGTAAGGATGTCCCCCGCGAAAGCGTGATTCCTGCATAAGATTATGAGGAAGTCCCTCGCGAGAGCGCGATTTGGGAATAAATTGTATGGAACTATCAGGCGGGAGCCGCTGTTGTTGTAAACCAGGGGCCAAGGACACTGTTTGAGCAGGAAGACTTTCCTTTCTAAAAACACAATGAGCCCCCGGAGAGGCACTTCGATTGAAAAAAACACGTATGCTATGCGAATGCGTGGGTCCTGCATGCGAATGCGAATTCGCCAGGACGTCTCAGGCGAGAGCGCGATTCCCAAGTAAAGCATGAATAAGTCCCAAGCGAGAGCGCGTTTCCTGAATGGCGAGGGCGTGGCGCCTGAACAAATTGCAAAGAAGTCACCAGCGAGAGCGCGATTCTGAGATGAATTGCGAGGAAGTCCCGAGCGAGAGCACGATTCCTCAGTAATTTGCAGGAAAGATCAGGCGGGAGCCATTGTTATTGTAAACCGGGGGCCAGGGGCGCAGTTTGAGGAGGAAGACCTTCCCTGATATGAAAACAGGGTGCGAGCCCAGGGAGGGGCACTTCAATTGAAAAAAACACATGCTACCAGAGGGAGGATCAACCAAAATTATTCTGCAATCGTGAGAGTTCAACAGCACCAACAACACTAATAATAGAACCAGCACCACCAACAACAACATCAATCAGTTTGAGACATCAGCAACAGCAGCAGCAGCAACAACAACGACCAAAAAGACAACGGCAACGACAACAACAACCACAACAAAGAGAACAACAGCAGCACCACCAACAACAACAATCACAACAACCACAGCAACGACAACGACAACGACAACAACAACAACAACAACAACAACAGCAACAACAACAACACCAACAACACCAATCACAACAACAACTAGTATAACCATAGCTACAGCTATACTTAACATTGCAACTACAGCACCGCCACCACTACCACCACCACCAACAACAACAATCATGCTAAGACTGTTCGCTCGTTCCTGCTCGCGTGCCACTCAACACGTGTATCCCAAACCCTCGACACCCACCCTCTTCGTCTTCGATCGTATCCCCTGGGGGGTATACCTTTCTTACTTGCAACGCGTATGTTGTGCAGCACCTGAGGCGGGGGACGAGGGGACGGACGGAAGGGACAATGGGGGAGAGAGGAGGATAGAGCACGAGAGAGAGTAGCAGGAGGGGGGCTAGGAGCAGAAAACACGTGGCAGGGCCAGACGGGCAGATCGGGCGGGTGGACCCTGACGGGCGGGCCCAGTGCCCAGGCGACCAGGTCGAGCAGGCGGGTTGCTGAAGCGCGCGTCCTGCACGAATCGCGAGGAGGCCTTGAGCGACAGCGCGGTTCCAAAATAAATCTCGTGAGGAAATCCAGAGCGAGAGCGTGATTCCTGAGTGTCGAGGGCGCGGCGCCTGAATCAAGTGCGGGAAGTCCCAAGCGACAGCGCGATTCCTGAGTATCGCAAGCGCGACGCCTGAATCAACTGCGAGGAAGCATCAGGCGAGAGCGCAATTCTATAAATTGCAAGGAAGTCCCTAGCGAGAGCGCGATTTCTCAACAAATTTCAAAGAAAATATCAGGCGGGAACAATTGTTGTTGTAAACCGGGGGGCCAGGGCACAGCTTGAGCAAGAAACATTTCCCTGGTAAGAACACAACGAGCCCCGGGAGGGGCACTTCAATTGAAACAACACGTATGCTTCGCGAATGCGTGGAGTCACAAGGAGTCACAAGCGAGAGCGCGATTCTTGGATACATTGCAAGGAGGTCACTAGCGAGAGCTCGATTCCTCAGCACATTGCAAGGACATATCAGGCGGCAGCCGTTGTTGTTGTAGGCAGGGGGCCAAGGGCGCAGCTTGAGCAGCAAGAAGTCTCTAGTAACAAAAAAAAAATCCGGGCGAAGGACCCAACCATATGCAGTTGTGAGTAACGCAATGGTAAATACTGTCCTCGGTGGAGATCCCTATGGGGCCACGAACCTTGTGAAGGGTGCGCCGACACGGGGGTGGAACTGCATGCGAACTGTGCCGCTGGGGCCTTCGGTGGAGATCCCTATAGGGGCCACGAACCGTGTGGGGGATGCGCCGACACGGGGGTGGAACTGCATGCGAACTTTGCCACTCGGGCCATCGGTGGAACTCCCTATGGGGCCACGACCGTGTGAGAGGTGCGCCGAAACGGAGGTGGAACTGCATGCGAACTTTGCCACTGGGGCCTTCGGTGGAACTCCTTATGGGGCCACGAACCGTGTGGCGGGCGCAGAAATGGGGGTGGAATTGCATGCGAACGTTGCAACTGGAGCCTTCGGTGGAGCTCCCTATGGAGCCACGAACCGTGCGAGGGGCGCGCCGAAATGAGGGTGGAACTGCATGCGAACTTCGCCACTGAGGCCTGCAATAGAGCTCCATATGGGGCCACGAACCGTGTGAGGGGTGTGCCGAAATGGAGTTGGAACTGCATGCGAACTTTGCCATTTGGGCCCTAGGTGGAGCTCCATATGAGGGCACAAACGGTGTGAGGGCTACGCCAGAATGGGAATGGAACTGCATGCGAACTTCGCCATTGAGGCCTGCAACAAAGCTCCCCATGGGGCCACGAACCGTGTGAGGGGTGCGCCGAAACGGGGGCGGAACTGCATGCGACCTTTGCCACTGGGGTCGTCGGTGGAGCTCCCCATGGGGCCACGAACCGTGTGAAGGGTGCGCCGAAACGGATGTGGAACTGCATGCGAACTTTGCCATTGAGGCCTGCTGTAGAGCTCTAGATGGGGCCACGAATCTTGTGAGGGGTGCGCCGGCATGGGGGTGAAACTGCATGCGAACTTTACCACTGGGCCGGTCGGTAATCTCCCTATGGGACCGCGAACCGTGTGAGGGGTGTGCCGACATGGGGTGGAACTGAATGCGAACTGCGCCACTGAAGCCTGCAATCGAGCTCCATATGGGGCCACGAACCGTGTGAGGGGTGCGCCGAAATGGGGTGGAACTGCATGCGAACTTTGCCGCTGGGGCCTTCGGTGTAGCTCCCTATGGGGCCACGAACCGTGTGAGGGGTGCGCCAAACTAGGGGTGGACCTGCCTGCGAACTTTGCCACTGGGGCCTTCGGCGGAGCTCCCTATGGGGCCACGAACCGTGTGGGGAGGCGCCGAAATGGGGGTGGAACTGCATGCGAACTTTGCCACTGAGGCCTGCAATGGAGCCCCCTACGGGGCCACGAACCGTGTGAGGGGTGCGCCGAAATGGGGGTGGAACTGCATGCAAACTTTGCCGCTGGGGCCTTCGGTGGAGCTCCTTATGGGGCCACGAACCGTGTGAAGGGTGCGCCGAAATGGGGGCGGAACTGCATGCGAACTTTGCCGCTGGGGCCTTCGGCGGAGCTCCCTATGGGGCCAAGAACCGTGTGAGGGGTGCGCCGAAATGGGGTGGAACTGCATGCGAGATTTGCCGCTGGGGCCTGCAATAGAGCTCCATATGTGGCCACGAACCGTGTGAGGGGTGTGCCAAAATTGGATGGAACTGCATGCAAACTTTGCCGCTGGGGCCTTCGGTGGAGCTCCCTATGGGGCCACGAACCGTGTGAGGGGTGCGCCAAAATGGGGGTGGGACTGCATGCAAGCGTTGCCGCTGGTGCCTTCGGCGGAGCTCCCTATGGGGCCACGAACCGTGCTAGGGGCGCGCCGAAATGGGGGTGGAACTGCATGCGAACTGTGCCACAGGGGTCGTCGGTGGAGCTCCCTATGGGGCCACGAACCGTGTAAGGGGCGCGCCGAAATGAGGGTGGAACTGCATGCAAAATTTGCCACTGAGGCCTGCAGTAGAACTCCATATGGGGCCACGAACCGCATGAGGGGTGCGCCGAAATGGGGTGGAACTGCATGCGAACGTTGCCGCTTGGGCCTTCGGTGGAGCTCCATATGGGGCCACGAACCGTGTGAGGGGTGCGCCGAAATGTGGTGGAACTGCATGCGAACTTTGCCGCTGGGTCCTTCGGTGGAACTCACTATGGGGCCACGAACCGTGTGAGGGGTGCGCCGAAATGGAAGTGGGACTGTATGCAAACGTTGCCGCTGGGGCCTGCAATAGAGCTCCATATGGGGCCACGAACCGTGTGAGGGGTGTGCCAAAATTGGGTGGAACTGCATGCGAACTTTGCCACTGAGGCCTGCAAGAAAGCTCCACATGGGGCCACGAACTGTGTGAGAGGTGCGCCGAAATGGGGTGGAATTGCATGCGAACTTTGCCGCTGGGGCCTTCGGTGGAGCTCCATATGGGGCCACGAACCGTGTGAGGGGTGCGCCGAAATGGGGGCGGAACTGCATGCGAACTTTGCCACGGGGGCCTTCGGTGGAGCTCCATATGGGGCCACGAACCGTGTGAGGGGTGTACCGAAACAGAAACATGCAAGGG